GGAGCACAGCGAACGAAGAAGCGGCTCGTGAACGAGAAGGTATTCGGTTCGCCAGTGGAAAGTAGCAGGTGTTCCGGGTTAATATTCGTAGCGAAGAGGATTGTTTTGCAACGCTAACTCACCGGGCAGCTTACGTGCCCATGCCCGTCTCGTAATTAGTTTGACTTTCACCGTGAGGGCCACCATACCGGGCACACTTTCGCTCGTCTTCAGTTCGCCTGTCTCTTCTGCCTCCTTCTCGGCTCGCCTCTGGAATTACGTTACACGTCGGTGAAAATGCCTGTATGCGTTTAATAAGAATTTAGGCCGATATCAAGGACGTTCTCCGGCAACCTCGCCGGAGATTCAAATCGCCTCGATCCGATTCGACGATCGGGAGTCGAGCCTGCGCTGGCCGTGTGACTCAACAAAAACAGTCTCGAAATCTCGTAACGACCGAAAGCAAATCGACGAGATTCGGCAAGGCGCATCCCGTGCTCGCTTACTCAACAACCAGCTTTGACGTAATCGGTCTTTGATTTCTCGTAATCTCCCAACAATTCGCTACGACACGGAAACACGTAGCATCGACTCTTTGTTATGTTTATTAACATCGTCTCTTTGGCGCTTGAACGACGCTCTTTTTCTGCCCCGCGCCTCCATTCACACTTTCTTCGACCGCGACGAAATGACGCGATGCAAACGTGGTGATGTGCTTCGCTGCTGAAATTGTTTATTCTTGGTCTGTTATTATTTGTTTGCAATTACGAAAAAATATTTATCACTTTACTTGCGATTACAATGGAAACGTTTATTTCTTTTTAATTGTTTATTTATGTAATAAATGCAAAAAGTCTTTGAGTTTGTCGTTTGTTTATTTATTCAACGAGTTTGGAACGAAACTCATTGAAAATTTATATATCTCTGTGGTGTGCAAGTCAGAATTATTACTTTTGCAGAAAAGCATTTTCAATATTTAATATTCATTACTTAATATTAATATTTTATTAGCATTTTATTTAATATTTAATATTTTACATGTTTTAAATATTTAATATTTAATATTTTACATGTTTTAAATATTTAATATTTAATATTTTACATGTTTTAAATATTTAATATTTAATATTTTACATGTTTTAAATATTTAATATTTAATATTTTACATGTTTTAAATATTTAATATTTAATATTTTACATTAGCACAATCGGTCTTTAATATCAGTATCAAAATATTCGAAATATAAATCACTGTGACTTAAATGGTGATAATAGTGAAAATAGTGGAAATAAATAGATTTATACAATTTATGTCTCTGTCTAAACAGAATTTGACAGAGATACTCGAATCTTTTAATTGTTTCAACAATTTAAATTTTGGTACGTGAAAGTTAATAACATATGCCTTGTCTCATTGTGTTTCGAAACATGTAACTTTTTTGAAAATGATATTTATTGTCCTGTAATATTTCGATTGAAATTTGATTTATATTCTTTTACATGTCCATCAAAAGTATAGATTCAGTGAAGAAGTTAATCTTCATTGAAACACCGTTGGCATAATCACACATTCTGATGACCGAATCACTAAATCTAAGTAAACTTCAAGGTTACTTGAAAAGAATTCAACTGGAAAAATTAGAGTTTCTCGCAAGAACTGCGAACAAGCGTGAAAGTTAATGAACTGTAGGGATGAAAGGCGGTCAATTTTTATTCTTAATTACTTTATACCATGACCTTTCCTTGTCACAGAACATTTATCCAAAATCTAGAGTCAGTACTGAATCTTTTTATCTGAATTACGTATTCATGAATTCACACATGACCTATAGATATTTTGAAACTTGCTATAAATTTAACAGTGCAGTTTAGAAATTTGCTATAACTACAAGGATTTCAGTCGAGTCTTCACCATTTCGACGTTCAAATTACATTCAACAGAAAAGCAAATTTATATTTGTTACAAATTTAATTTGTATCGATAATTACATAATAAATAAATAAATATATATATATATATATAATTAATATAATAATTATATATATATATAATATATATATAAAATTTATATATTTATTTATTATAATATTTATTATATAATTATCAATAGAAATTAAATTCATGACGAATATAAACTTCTATATAATTTAAAAAATACAACTATGTAATGCAACAATATTGTAATCTATTAATACTATAATGTATGTTACAGTGTACAGTATTAATACTATATTGTAATATTATAGTATATTATGTAATGCATATTTTTTTTATTCTATATATTATGCATGAAGAGCTCAAAAGCCAATTGGTATGAGATACTTCTCATTAAAAATAACTTGAATTATGGAAATACCATTTTATTACCAAAATATTCAATTCAGTCCTTATTGGATAGCCATATAAATAATCCAAGATGCTTAAAATATAATTAATTTATTTGTTAGAGGTTCAAAGAGAACGACATTGAAATATATTAAATAAATTTGTCAAAAAATATTATATCGATGTACAAAGGATGAATGCATTCTTAATTTGAATCAATTTAGTATTACATTTTTAGGTTTTTGATCATTTTAAGCTTAAATCAGAGAGTTAATGGAACAATTAGACATTAATATTGCAAAAAAAAAATAAATTTTAAATATTAAAATTTTAATATCAGTATTTATTTATTTCATTTTTCTACAATATAATTATTACAATGTTATAACTAAACTATTCCCTTGACTAAAGATTTTAACAACGAAAATTATTTTTTTAACAACTTACACTAATTGAGTTTTGCGTCCCCTATATAAATTTTGCTTAATCCTTTATATCCGGTATTATTTTTTATTAAAGTTTTGTATCGTTAGATGACTTTTGATAATAAATTTTTTAAAATAATCATGTATTATAGAATGTTCCTTATTTGAAGCACTATTTTTCAAATATCTTAATATTCAGATATCTAAAAAAATAAGATGTAGTACTACATGTTTTCTTCTAGCAGTTTACAAATGAGCCTTTCAGTTGACAAATGAATCAAGATCCGTTTTTTAATGTGTGAAAATCATGTAATACTTAATCAAAAATTAAGAACAAAATGTAGAAAAATAAAGTAAAATAATAGTAATTATGATAATACAACTGAAAAGAAAAATTATTTCTTTCAATAGTAAACTAATGGAATTGTCTCTTACTACGCATAAAACAAAATATACGAAATTTAAATTAGGTATAATTAGTATTTATTATTTTTATAGTTCATTCTTCCTCATTTTTCACTTACTCCATCCGTTAGTTGTTGAAAAGCTCAAATGTTCAATTTACACATTTTTTTGAAATCAATGAGCAATGTCACATTAAAATGACATATTATAAAGAGCATAATTGTACCAATGATAATAAAAAATAGTCGATAATTTAAACTAATATAGAATCATAAAAAAAAGATCATATATAATCCACTTGATCCTATTTTAAGGCATGTAGCTGCTGCTTTAACAGTCGTGAGATTTTTCTTTCAAAGATGATTTTACATCAAAAAAATAACTTTTCATTACATTTAATTCTGTAAAATTATTCTTTATAGTTATTATTTCTATTCGTGGCATTTTTTTCTGAAATTTAAATGAGATTTCCGTATAATCCTTTTTTTAAGAAGTTACAACAATTTGAATTGCCGACAATATTTCATTATCATTGCTGTAAGCATTTACAAAACATACTTTTACGTGCATTTAAACCAGTACTTTGAATATTATCAGAATATAAGAGCTTAATTTCGGCGTACTACACATTTGGCCAGAAAGAAAGGTCAAATACGTTCGTACAAATTAATTTACAAACAATACATTCGAAACAAATCTGGAAATTTCATTCTCACATTTACATTCACTACAAATAGAAGAAACCTAGAGACAGCAAAATCCCCCCGTTCGAAAAATGAAATTCATGGACGTTGTGGTCGATCGATTTTCAAGTATCTCGATGCGTCGTTGATAATGATCTAGACGAGCGCGAAAGCGTTTCTATTAAAACTAATGAAATTCCTTTGTTCGCGAAGACATTTTTTTATTAAAATTTTAAATTCATAATTTATATATGAGACAGCATATATTTCATTAATCCTTTCATTCCAGATTTCATTTAAAAACCAATTGATTATGCTATCTTTGCACAGTCAATTATATTGCAGCCGTTAAATCATTCATTGAATTGACTTAAAATTATTTTCAATAAGACATGTTTTTAATAAACTGGTGAATATATTTATTTTGCCTAATTCCTTATATATATATATATATATATATATATATATATATATATAATTATTAATTATATATTATACATATATTTATTACTAATTTAATCATTATATTTATTATAATTAAAAATTTTTTTAAATATGCCTAATTCCTTATATATATATATATATATATATATATATATATATATAATTAATTAATTATTAATATATTATACATATATTTATTACTAATTTAATCATTATATTTATTATAATTAAAAATTTTTTTTTAATAATTTAATTAAATAATTGTAATAATTGTGTGTGTGTGTATATATATATATATATATATATATATATATATAATGAACTTTATAAATTTATAAAAATCTTTTAAAAAAATTAATAAATTATAAAATTTTTTCTATTATTAATTAATACTATTTCTATCATTAACAATATCATAATTTTAAAAAACAAAATTATAATATTATATAAATAATTTACTAATTATACAAATTATATAAATAATTTAATTAATTTATATAAATAAAATTATAATATTATATAAATCTGTTGAATGGCAAAAAATTTCCCTGGTATAAATTTCGCCTGCGTGAACCGTTCCTGGAGGGGCCGGCCTGTTAATCCGTTAATCCGTAATAAGATCAGGGTTACGTAGCCCGGTGAACGAAGATCCTTCGATCGATGATCGGACGAGTGAGGAAAGAGAATCGAGGATGTTCCTTTTCCCCTCTTTCGGCCCGTATAAAAGTCCGAATGTGTCGATCCAGCCGACACAACTGTGAGAGATCGTCGGTGAAAGACGTTCTCCTTTACACATCTGACTTTCGGCCTCGTACCCTCTCGGTCGCCGCGAAATTCAACGATGTTGGTCTACTTGGTGAGTTCGATTGTTCGATTCGTGTCCGTACTTTAACTCTGATTGCGAGTCGTATTTTACTCGCAATTTTTGACAGGATGTACACATACTCTGTTGTAAACTGTTAATCACTCGAGTGCCTCAAATTAACTGAAGTGTAAAAGTTTGATACTGAATGTGGAGTATATGAATTATAATTCATCTCTCAATATATATCTTTCCATCTATTTATTGAATACATTTTAATACGTTGTTTTTTTTTTTTTTTCTTTGAAGCAGTGAGTACATCCAATAAATATATCAGCTAGTTATTTATTATTGATTATAAGTTATAATATAAATACTCGAAGAGTTAACTTTTCGTCAAAGTATCATATCAGTTAGTAAAATAAATTGGAATCGTGTTATAACTTCATTTTGTAGTGAAAAACTCACTCGATTGTTGTCGTGCGAAATTTAAAAATTTCGACAAGTAAAACGTTCGTTCGATGCAAAAAAATTGCACACATCTGAAAGTCTGATTGGATCGTACAAACTCGAAGTCGTTCGATCGTGTCTTGGTTTCGGCTAAAAGTGTGCTCTCGCTTTTCCTTTTTAACCTCTTGCGCTGGAATAACGACTCCAGAAACGAAACAAAAATTCTCGAGTGAAAGTTTCAATCCATCGACAAACTTCTGGCTGAAATTTTCGAAACATTTAAGAATTTTCCTCATACGATGATAATAAATGTATAAAACGAGAAATCATCGTATTGATGTCCAAAAAGTATGTTTACACCCATATGTATGTACAGTGAATATACACTGAAAGTACTTGTTTCAAATTCGGATGGTTTCTGTTACGTATTTCGCAACATCGAAGTATACGATACTTTCAACGACTCGTTGCAACTCATCTTATCGGAATCAATCGGTTTTCGTGAAATTGACGACGAACGGTCCCCTCTGGAGCATATTGGATGATTATTCTTGCGTGTTATAATTTTACTTTCTAATCATTTATTGATATATAGAAATCTACAATTAACTTGAACGTGACATCTCTGTTTATTCGACTTTTTTTTTCCTCGTAGTAAAATTGTAACTACATAAATACCTTATTTAAAAGCTTATTTAAAATATTTTGAGAGTAGAAATGGTAATTTACATTTAAATAGTATTTAAATTTAAATTTTACAAATTGTTAGTAAATAAATTTGACTTGTATAACAGAAATAAGATTCATCAAATAAAGAAAAAGCCTTTCATAAAGTTTTCATTAAATTTCTAATGTTTGTATTTGAAATGACATCAATTGTTAAAAAAGAAAAAAGAAATAAAAAGTAAAGAATATGTACAATCAAATACAACATTGTTATAAATTAAATATATAAAAATATATATACACATAATATGGATATAACATAATAACATATAATACATATAAATACATATTATATATATAAAATTTTCAAGATAAAATATAAACTTAATAAATTATATAAATTTAAAAAATAATTTACAACATAAATTTATAAGAATAAGCAAAGTTTTAGAATATACTTACAGAGAAAAGAAAATTAAAATATTGCAAAAATAATTATTCAACGACTTATTGCAAATATTCGTTTCACCACTTATGCTAGATTTCAAGTTAAATTGTCAGTTTTCCACAAGAAAGTGATGCTTTGAAACTTTTCTATTTTGAACGTGTTCAAATGTGAAATACAGATACTTGAAAAATAAAAAAATCCTTCTACAGTAATTATAGAGTCGAAAGAAATCGAGCAAAAAATATTTCAGTTATGATGATTCACGGTTAATTATTACACGACCGCCGACTACATTTTCCGCTCCAGATCTACTAATTGTAAAGAGTTAATTCAAAATGGTAGAAGAAACTTATTCCAAACTAACCGTGTCAATTACAATACGTTTTTGTTCATTCTTGTTGTTGTACACATTCATTCATGTTTTGTAATAATTGGCATTTATATTAATATAACATAGTACTTACAAAATTATTTAAATACTTACAATATTAATATAATATTTGAAACATGAATTTATTCAATCAATAATTTAAATTATTTTGCAAAAATATAATCAAAAACAACTCTGTTGCATTCTTTTACGTTCTACAATGGTGTTACGTTTTTTTTAACTCGGAAAAATATTATGAAGTAATCAAAATCGTAAGAAACAAGCATTGTGATTCGAACAATAATTAAATACAAATTAAAACATAGTGATTTAGTTGCTACGATTAATATAGTATATAATACACTAAAATTTTATTTATTTATTTATTAATAATTATTAAATTGTATTATTATATTATACATTGTATAATTATATAATTAGATTATATAATTATTAAATAATCATAATATTAATATTAATTATAATATTAATATCATAATAGTAATATTAATTATTATTTATTAATTGATTATTAATCATAAATAATAACTAAAATATTATTTATTTATCAATAATTTAGAGGAATTAGGTATGAAGCAAAGAAAAATAACGATGTTAAAAGACCGTGTAATCACGAAACAAAATTAAAACAAGACGTCTAAATGTATATACAGATTCAAGGAAGAGATCAACTCGATATAATAAATACATGATATCAATTAAATATATTAATTAAACATTACATTACATTAAAAATTTTTAAATTGATTCTAAAGTATCATTGAGTTTGAAGAAACGGACTAGAAGAATTAACAATAAATTTTAATTATAAATCCTTCCTTTTTAGAAGGACGATTAATATCGATACATTATAAATACACATTTTTTTGTAATTTATCTTTCATCAAATAATATCTGAAATAATGTAACGTTATATGACAAATTATACTTATGAACTTTTACTCCTGAAAAGAAGAGTTCTGTTAATTTCACTCTATGTGTTTCACATATAACATTTTAAATTTTCTTCCTCTTTAATTCTTCTTTTTTATGCTGCCCCATAAGAGATACGGAGCCTTTCACGTTTAAATTCCATAACGATTGCGGCCGTGTTCCTTTCGTGGGCGTCGATATATCAATATCCCACGATTTCTCTTGATCTTAACGATCAACATCTGCGCGAAACATTTTATACATTTTGTACATTTTATAATCGAAATAAAAATTTATTACAGTAACATTTTTAAGCACAGGATTTTAAGATATGCACGGTATTTTATTTTTGTTTCTAAAATGCAATAAAATGGTTTTATTCGAATTATTTGGAATAAAATTTTCACGATTTATTCCTTAAGCGGTCATCATTATAATAATATGTATTACAAAAATTTAAGTTATTTAATTTTATTTTATATTTTACATTTTTCCGATAGAGAGTAGTAATAAAATTAAAACAAATCAAAAATTCCAAAATTAAAGTATGAAACATAAATTTTTATGTTTTTGATATTATTTAAGAATTAAAGATGGTATGAATAACGTCAGGCACTAAAAAAGTACGTTTTTCATATCCCAAGAATTAAGACTGAAACAAGAAAAAAGTATAGATATATATTTAATGTAAAAAATTTTAGTACGAATAGAAAATGCTTCCAAATAATTTCACTACTTTTTAGACGTAATGCTCACAAAAATAATATCACATATGTTAATATCCTTTTTTCGATTGATAGATTAGAACCTTTTTTTTTAACGTATATAGCCTATTAATGTATATGAATCTAATTATATAGCGATAGAATTAAAAATGTATCTACAAAATATTGAAAACTGTATATTTTATTTGATTAAAAATATTAATAATAAAATGATTAAATATGATAAATAAAATTAATAAATATTATAAAAATTAATATATTTAAATATAATATATAAATATATAAATAATATATTTAAATATTATAAATAAAATTAATTATAATATATTTAATAATATATATAATAATATATTTAAATATTATAAATAAAATTAAAAATATTTATTTAAATATAAATAATTTAACGATGAAACTGTCAACGAGTAAAGCATGAAATTTCCATCAGAAACATTGAAATAAGAAAAATAGGGAAACTTTATAGTATAATAAAGTACAAAAGCTTTTATTTATACATTTTACGAAAAATCATTCAAATCTCCAAAAACACATTATTTTATATCTATAAAGTTTCTAATAAAAATTATAAATTAGCCAATTTGGCCATTTTTGATAGTTCTAGCGTTAAACTCTTTGCTTCATTGAAAACTATATATGGAAAGAAAGAATGGAACGAATAAATTTTCTCTTACACACAATTTTCTCCTAATTGGCAAAGATAAATTACTTCACAGTTGTATCTCTAATGACGATGTACAGTAGCGGCTAAAAGTTTAGGCACACCTTTACTACATCTGCACTTCATATTTCACTATACATATATCAATTTCTTAATTCTGCTTATTTCTTGATTATAAATATACAACAATAAATGTGTTCATTTTCTATATACATTCTATATACAAAATATTCTGGATAAGAAAATCATTATTAGTATGTCAGAACTACAGTCAGTCACAAAAATATAAATACATTTCCAAATTTTAAATATTTGGAGAAATATAAATATTTTTAATTAATTACTATTTATAACTTATATTTATTATTACTTACTTATTTATTTTATTTATTATTACTTATAATCTCTTTAAAAAATCATAGCGTTTTTCGTTATTGGTTTATAAGAAAATATATTCGAACAATCTATAAATTACACAATTATCATATGAATATCAAAATGTACAAAGTTATTATTATTATAATTATAATCAGAACACAAAAAATGTTATTTACGTTACAACATATATGATAATTGTGTATTGTTTTTTGTAAGATTGTATTTTCGATTTATTTATATGTTTTTTTAAATGGAAGAAATATTTTAGAAATGTCAATATTTTAGAAATGATTTAATTTTAACTAACGAATAAATTATTATAATAATTTATTATATATTGCAATAATTTATATGTTATACATTATTAATATATTATATATATAATATATAATATATTTATATATATATAACATATAATATAACGCATAATAGAATATACTTATAATACATATATATATATATATAATGCACGCATATATATAAGTGTATATATATATAAAATACATTATATAACATATTATATTACTGGTATTATATTATTATAATATTATATATTGTATATATTTCCGATTACATAAGTACATAAAATATTACATATATATATATATAAGTAAATATGTTGTGCATGCAATATAACACATCACGTACTATACAAACATTTACCAACATACAATTAACGAAAAAGCAGAGATGGAATTGATGAAATTATAAAAATACGAACACCTGACGATTAACGTGATCATCGCGTCAATATATGTATATAAGTTGGTGCATAGTACATTTAACAGGAAGCAATAACAAGAACAGTCGCGTTGTCGGAAAAGATAACGAAACGATTGTTGAGCACCAACACGCTGGCCGAACAGCGAACAGTGAAATTTCCACGAAGAGATATACGCGTGAGAACTTATTGTTAGCCGAGGATCCAGCAGCGTCAAGATCGCGCATCGCTGTCGGTTCGCGTAATTTTCTTTGAATTTTGTTGTGCACGACAGGAAGAGGAGAGCAGTTGCATAAGCGTTACAATTTAACGTCGTAGAAAATTGATTGCGAAACGGCCGCGATTGCTGCGTTTCTAGTACGTGCACGTATTTGAACACTCGTATACGTGCAGATTGGTTACCCGAGTACCTGGTCACATGCACGCGGAATACACGATCAACTTTCTTTGTGAAAACAATTCGGCTACTTTCGAATTAACGACGGACCAGTCGCATCGTTGTACATACGTGTTTTACTCTTATTCGTTCGTTCGAGTACATGGTGAACCATCTGCGAATACCGGTTTTTCTTGCCCAAAGTCTGTTTCAAGTAATTCTATGCGGCTTTTTATGTATTTATAGGGAATTTTAATTCTTTTCGTGCCAACAGAAATGTAATAGTATAAAAATCCTAAAAAATGATACAAGATTACAATAATTATACTAAGTAACTTTACTATTTCTTATATTACAAACATATATAAAGTATAAACTTGAGAAAAAAGGTATAAAAATTCTGAAACAAATGATTAAAAAATTCGAAAAGGAACATATTAAAAAATAAAGGGAGAATAAATGCAGTCGGGATATACAAACTTGTAAAAAATGTATATAATATGTGAAATGCACATTCAAAATATATAGTGCTTCTGTATTTATCGTGTAAAATAATTTTTAATTAATATTCTCGGAAATATGAATTTACATAAATATCCGCAGTTCAGTGGCTAAGTATAGTGTTCTGAATACAAAATTAGTAAAGTGAAATTAAATTTTTTGAATAGTCGTTGTATAATATTAAACTGCAGGCTTAAATGATGATTTTTACAACAGATGTATTTCAAATATTCAATCAGAGTTAGACAAAAATAATTAGACAAAAATACTGATTAGTAACAAAAATAATTAGACAAAAATATTGATTAATGATTACAAATTACAAAAGTTAATCAAGATTATTGATTAATTTTAACAACTGATTAATAATTATGATTATTATGATTACTAATTGATTGTAGAAATAGATCTGTTGGATTTCCTAATTATTGTGTAAATGTAAAATTTATAGCAATTTTTGGAAAAACCATTGAATATGATAGACTATTTGAAATACGTATGTATTATGCAGACATACATACAAGTACAAATATTGTATATATATATATATATATATACATATATAAAATATAAATATCTTTGTATAGAAAATTTCGAATTGCACGAAATTGATGTATTAAAAAATATATAATTCCATTTAAAAGGACAAGGTTGATCTTCATATGACTTCTACGCGTCTACTCGCGAAAAAAGAAACAGGAAATAAAATCTCGAAAAATCTAATTCGCTTAAATCTAGTTATAAATTAAATTAAATAAAATCTAACTACAAGACTAGTTATAAATTAAATTAGACGTTAAAATCTAATTATAAATTAAATCAGATATTAAATCTAATAAAATTTAGTTGCAAACCTGGTTGCAGAATAAATTAAATGTTAAAGTCAAGTAAAATCTAATGAAAACTTAAATTAAATTAAACGTTCACATATTTTGTATAAAATGAAATAATTGAAAATCCATATTTTTAATAATAACGCTAATTTAATACTACTTATTTAATTAACTATGACAAAAGATAATAAGCATACAGAATGACATTCACTGTTTCTACGAACTTACTTTTTAAAAAAAAATATGAGATCGAGGTAATAAATAAAGTGATGGAAAGTGACTTAGAGTTAATTAAAAGATTCGAATGCAAAATCACATATCATTTTGATAATTGGCTGTTACTTTGTTATCTTATTTTGAAGTGTATTATTAATTTAATTTAACTGTCCTTATTTACTTCAATTATCGTGGCAGTTCCATTGAAAAGACTTTCGCGACATCAATGACAATTATTGTTTAATAAACTGCCATTAAATTAGTTTTGCAATCAGTCAATAGGCAAATAGTTATACGTCTGCTTTTTTAAGAAACAATGCTGCAGATTCTCCATTGTAGAGAAAAGAAAAAACTCGAAAAGGGAAAGCCAAGTAAAAGTAAAAGGCACTACTTATTTTTTCAGATCTAGTCGCTGGAAGTAATTAGTATGACACTTTAATTGTGCTGCTTTTGTTCTGCTTTCTCTCTCTCTCTCTCTCTCTCTCTCTCTCTCTTCTCTTCTCATTCCCAATCTCCCTCTCTCCTCCCTTCATTTTCCTTGAAAAAACGTTTGCTTCTGCTAAATCTGCGATTGATATTAATATTAAAAAAAAAGACAAATTACTTAATTTTTTTAAAAATATAAAATGATGATTAATATATCAAATTAGAATTTTTGATAACGCGATGACTGAGTAACTTTGATAATTGTTTTTAATTGGCATTAAATTTTACTATTTAATAACTTTGCATCTACGTAGTAATGTACATTTCATATTTAATAATTTGATTTTACATTACATTTAATAATTTAATTTAATTTTAATTTACATTTAATTTTGTATTGACATAATACATTTTACATCTAATTTCAATAATTCATTACAACTTTTTAACGTTATTTCAATAAATATGTTAAATATATCAAGCATCATTACAAATACATCACATCGTTAAAATGATGAGAACAAAATGCAATTTTTTAATCTGTACAATAGAATTTCCTAAACTAAATTAAATTATAAATATCGCTACTATAATGACAAATAGAGTAAGCAATTATGAAACTGCTCACATTTAATAAATGGGTACACTGTAAATAGGTACGTAAATAGGTATCGTGTATAAATAATTAAACACTTTGTGCATTTATATTAAAAGGTTGATGTTTTTGTTATAACTTATGAATATTTTTCTACTGTTAGGTTTCTACACTTTCATGTTTCATGTTCAGTTTTTAATAAATGCATAGCTGATACTTTATAAAATCTGTATAAATCTTTTCAACATGTTCAGAAACATGTATTTAAATCATTTTAAAATTTCAATAATGAACATATTTAAAGTCACTTTCTAGAATCTAATTATTATAATACTAACTACATTCTTATCGTTAGCTATTTCTTTTATTTACTATTCAATTAAGTATCTTTTTATCAATATCTATTAATATATTATCTATAAATGTATATGTTAAAATCAAATTAATTGATTTAAGTTTTATTTTGCAATAATTTAGTACTTAATTATTATAATAATTTAGAATTACTTAGGAATAATTTTGTCCATATAATTAAACAGTAATGTATTTTGTTATTTTTCTAAGAAAAAACAAGCAGGAGACAATTATCTAGTTATCGCAAGCAATGTCTAGTGCATTTAAAACGAGTTTAGAATGATGTCAATGTTATTCTGTTGTTCGCCTAAAAGGAAAATATAATTAAACAACTGATAATCCGTAACTTTCCATTTTAGTAAGATCAATTAAGTTAATTGTGGTTATCTGCAACTACTGACTGCAATGAAACAAAATAGTTATATTATTGTAAGATTAATGGACTGAAGCTTAAATTCATATTTTTCATTTTATTTCATTTACCACAAAAAAGTAAATATAGTTAATAAATATAAATAAATAATGCAATAAATATAAATAAATAATTCAATATCAAGTGATTCAAAACTCGCTTAAAATTAATCTTATGAGTTGAAACAAAAAGATAAAGATCATTATTGATCAATTTTTAATTGGATAAAAATAGTTTTTATAATTATCATTATGTGATATAGATTTGTCTTCAAAATAATTGAAAGAAGTGACTATTAAACTGCGAATTTTTATATATACATGTATTTTTATGTACATGTATTTTTATGTACATGTATTTTATGTATTTTTATGTACATTTTTATATACATGTAATTTATGAGAAATTTAAAATTGCATAAATACCCAGAATACACACATATAAATGCGTAGTATAAATTTATTACTCTTTATAACATTTAATACATAGAATAATTTTTTCATGAATGAATTTTTCATTTTCTCAAAAATATGCATAATTTGCATAAAAATTCACAGTTTAGTGATTATTAAACTTAATTGCTGTAATACCTCATACTTGTGTGTACATAAGTATATCTCTGAATATAAGGCAATAAAGGAATATAAATTAAAATTATTGATTATTTATATAATATTTAAATTATATAAATATCTCATCTGATTGTACTTACAAAATAGTAAATTTTTCTTTACAATATAAATATATATGATATAATCCAATCTAAACTGGTTCAAAACTTTTTTTTCATTAAAAAGAAAAAAAAATATAATACAAAATAATTTTTTAGGTTATATTACTTATACTTTGTCTCAATTCATCAGTAACACGTCAATTTTTATCACTTTCCTGCTCTTTAGACAGCCTTAGTTGCAGTAACTTTGAAATTTAAAATTCCTGCAGACCACGCTACTATTGGTAGCTTCTACAACAGTATACTCGAAACCTGCGCCAGAACCACCCAGCTCGTACTTCCCACCATCGAGTGGTGGTGCAAGCTTCTCAAGCGGATCTGGTAGTTATGGTCCACCGTCGCTTCCAGATCGTTATGGACCACCTCAACAACAACCTGTCGTCCACAAACACGTTTACGTTCACGTGCCACCTCCAGAAGCCCCTGAATATAAACCACCGAAATACATTCCACCCGCAGCACCACCACAGAAACATTACAAAATCGTATTCATAAAGGCGCCAACTCCACCGACACCAACAGCACCAGCTCTACCACCATTGCCGCCTCAAGACGAAGAGAAGACTTTGATCTACGTGCTCGTGAAGAAACCGGAAGAGGCTCCGGAAGTGGTGTTACCGACTCAAGCACCAACGCAACCCAGCAAACCGGAAGTCTACTTCATCCGATACAAGACTCAGGTAATGTACACGGAATTTAATTCTTATCCGTTTTTCGTTTTTTCAATTTAATTTGCTGTCAGATTGGCAAAGTGGTAAAAGTCAAGCTTCAATGAAAAGATAAATTTACAGATTTTTTTTATTAACTCCTTGCCTCACGATTTTCTTTCCAATCTTTTTGAGTCAAGCATCACGCATTGTACTCTACTTATACTTCTACTCACTTTATATCGTGATGATACTTAAGTATCGCTTATTTAAAAGCTTATATCTCTTCAACGTGATACTTTCGTAGTACGCAAAAAGAGATATAGTGTATTAGTATATTAGATAGAACCATAGAACAATGTTATTAACATAATTAAATTTTGATTATTCCTTTATATCGTGATGAATTGTACCAATTCATATAATTGCTTTAATATGATGATTCTTCATATTCTAAAAGAGATATAATGTATTAGATTGAATCATGGAACAACGTTATTAACATAATTGAATTTTGAATACTTCTTTATATCCTAATGGTACTTAAATATATCACTTGTGTAAACACTTGCATTACTTTAATGTGACAATTCTTCATAATATTTAAAAAAAATAACGTTACAAGTATAACTAAATTTTGATTATCTTAGATTATTCCTTTATACGTATACTAATAATACTTACACTAAACAAATCACTTTATACAATAAGTATAGTTGATAAATTTTCAAACTTTATTTTCTTAAAAATGAAATTTTAAATGAAAAACATTTATTTTTTATTTTCGATTTATTTTCTCATATAGAATCATCCTTTCCTTAATTGCATCTTTATACTGGAACATCCTATATAAAAGTATCCTTATATCACTTGAGAAAATGAAGATTTGTTAGTTGTTGGAAAATAATAGGCGAATGTTGTTGCAATTCGAAGTCTGTCAATACTTACAAGTATTTTAAATTTAATATATTAATTTATTATAAAATTTATTTTCTTTTTCCTTATGTTTACAATATTCCAAAAACGATCTAATGTCACAAAAATTTAATAAAAGTTCAGACATAAAAGATTAAAGCAAAATGATATCACATTATGCAGGCTTTATAAATATAATTTTAAAAATGCATATTTATTATAACAACTGATTCTTCAAAGAGTCTGATCAGTAGTTATATGAATATTATATTATTATGCGAATAATTATTTGAATATTAAAATAAACAATATCAAATTACATATTTTATAAACTAAATTCACATTTACTTTCATAAAGAAGATACACAGAATTATTATGTAAAGAAATGTACGGAAAAAAAGTTAACAATACAGTTACTAACTCATACTATATTTAATTAGAATTAAGTACATAACATCATGTTACTGAAAAAAATATTAAATATTACTATCAAACAGTTATTATTATTATTGTCAGATATTATTGAGAAAAATTAAAAATAAAACTTTAACAACGAAACAAATAAATAATTAAACTTCCCAAAACATGTTCCCAAAGATACTATAATCTTTTTTATATTTTTATGTTATAGAAGGAACAACAAAATGCAGAATACGGACCTCCACCACAATCACTCCCTTCGGATAACTATGGTGCTCCACCATCAAGCTCTGGCGGGCCTTACTAAATAATATTTATTTAAGGAACTTCTTTGTATAAAATACTCAAACCCGCGAACCTCGTGAATTATAAAGATTTTATTCGACAAGAATGCTCATTATCCATGAGATTTTGAGAAAACCAATGTGTAACTAGTGTAATTACTGCCACAGAGTTTTGTGAATTTCACGATTAGATACTATCTATTTGTTTCTGCAAATGATAGCACTAAAGACACCATTTTAATATTAGTATCATGAAATAGAAATCGAGAAGGAAATTTATGCATAATACTTGTATTAATTAATACATCTATTAATTGTTCAAATTATTTTGAAAAGAATATGAAAAATTATATATAAAAAATCTTTTGTTATGTATATCAAAAAATGCAGATTAGTTCACAAAAGATTATTAAATAGAAATAGAAATATGAAAGTTAAATTTGGGTGATTAATGCGAGTGAAGCATTAATGTGATTGTAACAAATGTATGTATATTTTAATAAAACTATTTGTACTTTTGTAAAAAATTTTATTTCATTATTTTTATTTTAGTTCCCCCAAAAATTATAACATAAATGGTTTCTTTTTTTCTCATTTGATGTATTACATTGCAAAGAAGCTAAAGAAGATACAAAAATCTAATTTAATATAAATTTTATTTGAAATAGAATACAAAAGGATAACAAACAATGATATGGTTTACAATTCCAAGTATATAATTATAATTTTGACATACAAATATGTGAAAAAATGACCGTTTAGGAAAAATACTTTCGTAAACAAATTGCTTCAAATACAATGACAATGGAAAAATATTCTCAATACGCTTGGTATATCTATAATAAAATTGTAAACCTATAATTAATGTTATAACCTTTGTTACAAAACTTAGTGTTGCTTTAAACAATCTATAAAAATATCTCGCAAAAGTTGTCCCGAATAATTACAACTTTTTAAAAAATTGCTTAAATAATTTATTTTATTTTCTTTGGATAAAAGTATTTACTAATTCTTTTTTCTCTTTCACTTACGATACATTAAATTGAGTGATAAGTTCATTTGTTCATTCATTTTATGGCAAGATAAATATACGTAATTAAGAATCTAGAACCAATTTATTTCATCATTTATTTATTTCGTCTTTTATCATTTAGATTGAGTTATCAACAGAACTCAGCTTAGAGATTTCTTCAATTACATAAATTATTTACATAAGTAAATCTTCTTTTTTCATTATAAAAGGATTTAAATATATGTTCCCAGAATTTAACAAAAGTAAAGTTCAAAATAAAATAATTTCCAAATTGCAGTACATTATTATAGTAAGACATAATTATCTATTCACATCCTCATAATTCTTCTTCAAATAGAAATTATTCACAAGCATATTGCTTTGTTTTTCCAGAAATATAGCAGAGTAAAAACTCATCATCAAAAAGGCTTGACTTATTACATATTTACTGAATTATTCTTAGAAAATTTATCTTGATATGTTTAACTATATTCTTCGAAGCTCATATTATTTAATAAATATTAAGAAACATATTCCAACGTTTCGTTAACTAGTTTAACTTAACTTAAATTGATATGGAGAAGTCTGTTAGGTCCAGTGGAAGAGAAACTTTTAGCATATTTTTTTATATCCAACATATTTTTAATATCTTGATGAAACGTAGGAATATTTGTTTTAAAATGAAAATCGCAGCAATCGCTACAAATCTTACACCTCTAAATAAATGAATTTATTACTCAATCTAATATTTATCTTTTGCTTTAATTTACTTATAACTAAATTTATAATTTATACAATTCAATATTATGCGAGAAGAAATTAATATTAAAATGTCGTTTTTCTTTTTAGATAAAGAGGACTTTATCAATTTAACTTATCAATATGTATGTACTTCTATTCATTTAACACTTCCGTGCCTCACTATTTTCGTATAACTTTTCATTTAAACCATATACATCATATATAGTATATATAGTTACTTAATAATAAAGATAACAAATTCAACTTGTATCGCAAATGGGTTGGCATAGAACGTTTAAAGCTCGATGTATACCAGTAGTTTACATTAATTTGGTGAATATGGAAGCCAATAACCAATATGATAAAAAAATGTATTTTCTTCATATATGTTACATAAAATTACATACAAGCACTCCAGAAAATCTCTGTACACACATTTAAATATTATCGACATTTTTAACTGTTATTAATTCCGTGGAAAGAAATCATATAATAAATTTTAAGGAATCATTGTGAAGGGAAAGCATCAATTTTCAAAATGGTAATAAATTTAGTTATGAAAAAGATATTTTTTTATAAAGAAAAGAAGTTTGAATTTGTAAGATTTTTGAGAAAAAATATATTTCTAATCTCTTTTAGAATAATATAAAAGTATCTCTGAAAAAAATGAATATAATAGTTTGAAAATATGATAACTTCAAAATGAGTATAAGATTGATAGGTTTACGATTTTTTGCTAAGTAGTTATAATTTAAAGTGTAGATATTTTTTATAAAATATAACTTCTAAACAAAAACAGAAGTAAATATTATCGACATTTTAAACTACTGTGACTTCTTAACAAAAAATCTTAGATCCTCGTTTTAAGGCATAAAGCTTTCATTTTCAAAATTCTGCATTTTTTTTCAAAGATATTTTTACGTCTCTTTTGAAGAGATTAAATCTCTCTTTTGAAATTAAATAAAGAAACTTTTTCTTTCAAAAATTTTGCAAATTCAAATGCCTTTGTAGACACAACAAAATTTTTTTTATAACTAACTTCACTACAATCTTGAAGATTGAAATCTACCGTTTACAAAGATTGCTTAAACTTTACTGTACAATTTTATTACGGAGTTAATAGGAATTCAAAATATCGATCATTTTTAATCGTGTGTACCGAGACTTTCCAGTGTGACTGTATATTAATTTTCTAAAAAAAGGAAATGTACTAAGTACATTTCTTTTATTGTGCAAATTGCTCGTCTGAATTAAGTTATGTAAAACAATTTACTATCCCTGAGCGATATTTCATTCGGAATACATGCACAAATTTTAATTTCATACAAATCATAAAATGCGTGGCAAATTTATTATAAAACACTCATTTACATCAGGCTGTATCTAAGTGCTAAGATAATGCGATCATTCTCTCGCTTTAATTTGAAAAATACTCAATTATATTTCAATACTGAAATACTCATAAATTAACTCTTTTAAGTGTGATCTCACAAGTTACAATTTCTCGTATACATATATTTGATCAACTTTGGCACTCAAAGGATTAAAAATACAAACATATTTAATAATATACAGATACAGTAATAATGCATATTAATCATATAAAATCTACAACATATTCAATTCTAATTATAATTTAACCAAAAATGAAAAATTCATTTTAGTAACATATAATTTTTAAATTAATTAAACATTAGTTTAACTAATCGATATAATCGCTATCATAACTTTCTATTTCAATATTTAAATTCCCCATATTTACGAAAAATAATATTTATGAAAATGTTTACTGCTTACACTATGATTAAAAGTAATATTGAGCACAATTTTATCAATTAAAAAAAAAACACATTTTCTTCAAATGCACTTTTAAGTATTTTGTACGTATTAAAAACCTTATAAAAACAGTATGTTATAGTTCAAAAATGAATTCCATCTTTTAATCAAAGAAAGTGATATTTTCCTTATATTTAATGTACAATATCACATAAGATCAAACTGAGGTTACATCACTTGTATTTTAAGTAATATTAAGTATCTGTTTCATTTTCTAATATCAAATATAACGTATATTACAAAAAGTAAAATATTTTCTCGTATTTTTTTTAACGTATATTTCTAAAAGTAAAATATTTTCTCAAATATCTAAAATAAATATGTAGACACTCATTGCTTCGTTTAAACTTATTATTACATTCTCAAATCTATTAAGTTTTTGTTAATTAAAAACAATTGAGATTTGCTCTTCTTTTCAAAAAAAAAGAAAAAAAGAAAATTCAACAAGTATAAACAATTCTTTATTTCTAAAAAAAAATTTTAATATAAATTTTCTTTCGTTTTTACGAAAATTGCAATCCTCCGTAACATTCATACAAAATTTATTGTATATTTTACTATAGTAATTAGCGCTCTTCAAAAATAGTTTGTAAATATTCTTGTACTTTAACAAGTTATGTGCGATTGAAGACAAAGTATTTTTTATTATTCCTTCCCATTTCCCATTTCCCATTCTCGTTTCCCATTTTTTCCCTTATTTTTTTTTAATACCATTAATATCATTAATAAAACAATAAAACTTGTTCAGAAATTTTGTTATATTACTACTCAAGCTTCTTGGGACGTTTTTTAAAAAAAAATTTCTTGATGAATATAGAAATAAAAGGATAGGTCAAATATATTATATGACCACAATAATAAACGGAAGAATAAACGTGAGTATAACGAGAGTAAGACAAAAATATAAAACAAATAAGACTGTAACCCATAAAAACAAATGTGTGCATCATCATCAGAATCCGTGTAAGTATTTGAAGTGCTGGATGATTTTTTAACAAGCTTTGTAATTTCTGCTGCTTCGTCAATATTTGAGTCAACTAAAAAAATTAATAAAAAATTTCATTCACCATAATAGCAAATGATTCATTAATTACTTTAATAACAGTTTCATTAATTGAATAATGACTTACTTAACATAGTTTATCTTACTAATTTAATAAATTACATTTTAAGGAAAGATAATATAATAACATTAAAAATTAATTCTACCAAAAATAAACATAATTTGTAACTATTTGTAATAACATTTAGAATAATGTATTTATGAATTATGAAATTTTTAAATAAGTCATTAAACAATCTTTTGTTTGATCATCATTTAAATAAAGAACCAATTGTTTCATCATTGCATAAAACAATTGACATATAAAAGATATCAAACTTACATCTTTCTCAGCGAACGTGATCACAAATTCAAGGAAGAAGCACAAATAATATCCTGAATGAAATCCATGCCATACTGCGAGGAAAACCAGAGTGAAAAATTGGCTATATATTTTTGAACCCAAAAATTTTAACCTCTTGTAAATATATTCCGCGCACCAAGTATTGGTATTTATATTGAATGACAAAATGTAATCATTAAAATGACTTGCTGTTTCAAATTTCAACAACTTTACATTTTCACAACCGTTCCACAACGGACGACCATCCTTATTCTTTCCATTATATGTTAAACCAAAAATTGTACAAACCTGAAATAAAAATTATTATATTTTTCATGATACAGAAACAAACGATAATAAGTAAACATTTTTTGATTATAAATTATTTATTGATATGCAATATATATATTTATAATTATATAATTTTATATTTTATAAAATTTAAAAAAATAACTTTAAAAAATTATTAAGATAAAAAGATTAGTAATTTAGCAATAAAATAATTTATTTATTTACTTATATATATGTATACTTTGCTTACCCCTTCAGCTAATAACCAGCAAGAAATGTATTTGTAAAGATTGACATGGCCCCAAAAGCCAATTATGAAAAGACGTTTGAAAAATGTCTGTTCCTGGAATTCTGTACTCAATAGATATTGATTGGGAATGTATGAAGTCCCTAATTGGTAGCATATCAAGTATATGAATCCGAGGAACATTCGAGAAATACCAGGAATAATGCAATCATGAAGTTCAATTTCTTCCTTCACAGAATTCTAAAAAAAAATACGAAAAATTAATTACTTCTTTTTCTATAACTTGTATAACTTGATATTCTATAATTAACTTTTAGGTTGATATTATATAAAACGTGCCACGAGATTATCTCAATGTATTATTATATTATCTCTAGTTATTAACACATATAACAAAATATAAAATAACAATGGATTGATCTTTTTTTCAATACAATATGAGAACAGATTGACATTTAATTTTATTTTATTTCAAAACGTTACCTATATCTATGAGTACGAAGTTAACATCAATGAGGAACCAATTCTATCGCATTTTTTTATTGATTTCGTTTTAGCATTCGAAATGCATTAGAAATTCTTTGTATTAACATTAGAACGACTAAATTTGTTAATATGATTGATTTCAGATTTTTATTTTCTTATAATTGTTTAAAAGATACAAATATTTTTATCAAAATTAACATTGCTTTCTGTTGGATAAAAACATGATTGTATAGATCTATTTATTTTAATTATAATCATTTATATGTAGAATATTTTCTATACGTAGACGTTAATTTCTAATACGAATTAACTATTGGTCCGGTAAACTTTTTTCTTTTTTATAATTTTTAACAGAATATTTAATATTTTGATAATGATAATATAATAGAAATAATTTTCAATTAACAAAATAATTTTTTAAACATTTATGAACCTATGTTTGTATAATGTACTTTTACTAATAGAATACATTGGCATATTAGAAAAATCTGAGAGGATCTATACATGGTGTTCCAGTTTTTTTCAAACAAACATTGTCATTTTATTCTATAGATCAAAATAAGAAAAAAATGTATCATTGAAAGTATGATATATCAAATGTATAAAATAGATAAGGAATATTTACATCTAATAATAACCAGAAGGTATTTGATATATAATAATTTCATGTTCACCATGCCTGTCAATACAAAATTGAATTTACTTTTTGAATCATTACTTTTGATCATTTTGATTTTGTTCTAATTCGCACATTAACTCTTTCGCAAGAGAGATACAATTATGTTGATTATGCAATATTACTGCTCATTTCATCTATCATTTCTTTCTATCATAACTAGACTGTTTTTCTGCATTTGTGGAAAATTTTCATTTATATAAAAATGCACAATAATCTATAAAATACTCAATACTCATCTATAAAATACTCAAAGTACAATTTTCTTTGTAACATTTAATAGATGAGATAATTCTTCATCTATTTCTCTAGATTCTATTTAGTTACTTATTTTTCTAAGAATGTGAAATTGTACAAATCATCCGCATAATCATGCTTTCATTTTTTATTAGTCATAACTCTTTAATGGCATATGTTTATATGACATTTATATATAGAAAAGATTGACAACGTTTGATCGGAAAGAACTAGGACCTCCTGTACATTGAATAAAACATTCTTATAATGCTTTTTATTATTTAATTAATTAATATTTTAATATGACTTACAGAATCCTTATCGATCAGCGTGTATCGGCCATGTACATAGTCTAAATATCGTTTCATACTAAATTGTGGCCCAACGAGAAACGATCCTGGGAAATATGTAAATGCTGCAATCTCTAAAAACGTAGGTTGTTCTTTCAAGGCCACTTGTTTCTGCGATGCAGACAACTTTTCCTGAAACGGTAATATGATTATTTAAACTTCTTGGCCCCAAAAGGAGCTTCCATTTTTTTTTCTTTTTAACGATTGTATTTAACTTAAATTTTAGCTTTTAGTTAGTTTTAATGTACTAGTTATTGCTCTTATACATACTTCGGATTTTTGACCGTCTAGTAAATTGAACGAGAGACCAATTAATCGCAGAGCTAATACACACTGTGGCATAGTCCACTTTATATCATAGTCATCTGTACTTGTCATATAATATCCTGTCAACGACAAAAACAAATATTATTTTTCAATGTGTATTAAATTATTATTTAATCACAAGAGGTGTTCTGTAATATGTAGAAATCATTTTAGAGAATTTAAAAGATAAAAAAGACTTAACGTAAATGTGTTTTATTTATCCTTCTTTTCAAGCTATACATTTTTAATTTAATCCATTGTTGTATTTTATCCTGATGGTTGAATAATTTTTGAATGAACAATATATACAAAGTATCAAAAAATAGAAATCCAATATTACTTTTATAGATATTTTACTATACTATATTATTATTTTAGTAGGATTTCAGTAAGTATTTATTAAAAAATGTCTGATCAATATACATAGATGCTAAAAGCAATTTCAATGTAAAATCAACTTTTATTATTTATTAACATTCGGTACGATATGAATGAATCACTTCGCAATATACTGAATGTCAATGAAAACAAAATAGCATTATTCCAAATTGAAATAGTTTTAGAATTGGTACGGAATTTGTAAGATGCAGAACAGCTCAATCGACATTGTGTTACTGCGATAATTTGCATTCGTTATTGATATCTAGAGAAGAATTAGGAATAATTTAAAATTATAGATCCATCATTCGTTCTAAAATGTGAAGTGCAAATATATGCCCAGAAAAATTATTCCAAATAGGTATATTCCGTCTTCTAAAGTATTTAAAAAAAACATTTGTGTAAATTTATATAAATTTTTTCACGTTATAAATTGCTAACAATCGCGATTTTATGCTATCACTGATAAAGAAAAACGTGTTTTCCAAATTGATTTTTAAATAAATGAATAAATTATTAAGATCCTATTAATGGATTCCTATTACAAGATTATTTGAATTTCATTATCGAAAACGCTTATTAATATTATATAATTATATATTATATAATATCAATATTATATAATATTATACAATATTAAGCGTTTTTAAAATGACAAGTAAGGTTTCCAACAAATAACTAAAAAAAAATGAAGCACTCAATAATAAAACATTTGCAGGTTTTAGTTCTTATGCAGATGTAGTGTGTTAAAAAACTTGTTATAACTTGAAAATAAAATAAATAGAATAATAATATGTTTATATGAAGTATTTTTTATGTATATGTAATTCCACATATTTCAGAACACCTTGCATTCAATAAATCTCTTCTTAACGTACATAAAACATAAATTCCGCGTTAAAATGCAAGTGAGATTCATAGTGCAAAAATTAAACTTACGTAAAGTCTTTTCTATCGTTTAAAAATTAATATGTAATTATGATTTTCAAACGAATTGAAAAACATCAAATACATTTGCATCCAAATTAAATCAAACTTGTAGCACCAAACAGGAGATAAATATATCTTTGTCTTTATCTACGTAACCAATACGTTTAATCCTTTATATCCAGTTAACTATGTTTATATCAAAATAACTATGACATTTTTATTGAATTTTTGTATCAATATATATAATTTTTGACATATTGTAAACATAGAGAGAAGAAAAATTTTTTAACAGTTTCATGTATAAGTAGAGTTTTTCTTAATTAAATCCCCATTTATCTTAATTCTTTGACTAAAGTTGTTTGCTTATCAAATGTTCAAAGAAATTAACATATTACAATATAATGAATAAATATATCAAAAAGTATATATTTTAAGATAAATTTTTAATTTGTTATGTATCTTTCGTTCAGTATTAAACTTTTAGACTTTTGATTAATTAGACTTTTCAAATTTGTTTACAAATTACATTACGAATAGAATATCTGTTAGTAACAGATGAGTTATATCCTGAAATATGATGGAAAAAATGCGTAGGATAAAAAAGATTAGAAAGTATTGATTTAAACATTCCCATATTCTCTTCCAACGAGTCATTAATATTCAATTTATTTTTTGAGTGTTGAATACATCATGAGAAATTGTGTATAATTATATACTTTTGCATCTGTTAAATTTACTGTTATATACTGTGTATAGAATTCGTAAATAATTTTGCAGTCACAAGAATTTTACATGCACCATTTCATATGAAACGGTAACATGTACCGCAAAGTAATAATTATCTATACACGTTAAATTTTATGATCATATATTGATTTGTGATTTATATAAATTGTATTAGTTCTACGTAACCAATACAGTAACTATTGAATATATGTGAAATTATCATTCTATCAATTATTATATTATCACGTTTACTGCGAATTCGATTTCAACTGACTTTTTATTCAAACAGATTATATTATTTTAAATTAAAATGAACAATGAAACATTAGGTTGTTGCACATGTTACACACGATCGTATTTCGAAAGAAACTTGTAATACTTATTATTCCGTTAAATACGATATTCATTAATCGAAATACGTTCTTCTAAATTCAATACACTTAGTCCAAATATTAGTACTTTTTATATGCCTTTTTTTAAAAAAAATCAATATTTCTTAACGCAAGAAATTTTTCAAAGATATCATTCAGTTTCGTTTTCACATTTTTTTTTTTTTTTTTTCGAGGAGAGAATGGAGCTAATCAGTGCAAGCCATTTTTCATTAAATAATTTGCAAATATTCCCTATCAAAGTCTTCAGTTAATGGAAGAGTTTAGTCATTATAATACAATCATTATGATGTTATAATTAGACTGCAGATTTTATGCATTTATAGAAAACTTTAAAGTGGAAAATTACATAGAATATGAAAAAATATATAAAACAATTGAAGTATAATGCTTTTCATATTTGGTATGTAAATCAAGTTTCTACTGAAATTATATTTTTTCATTTATATCCTCAAAAATGTGAATTTGCATGAAAATTCGCAGTTTAATAACTAAATTGTCCCATTGGCTATCAATTTTGACGCTGAAATGGCATAATTGTATAGTACGAGTTATTTTTAATGAAAAGTTTCTAAGTTCTCTAAATGATTTAGATGTTTGAAAAAATGATAGTCAAGAAATAATTCGAGGAAGATCCGGAGTATATTAAATGTGACATACGTATTTATGAAGTTTTTAGTCAAGCATTATTATTCAAGCGACTTTTGGACGATTACACGGTTCATTTTAAATGGATATACAGAATGAATCATTTAACTGTTCCATTTAAAAGACCACTTGATTAGTTTCTTTGGAGGCACCCAAAAAATGAAATTTATCGCGAGTCATCTACGACTATATAAAATCTAAAGACATAAAGAATCACATTGTTAGAATATGTTATGACATGAACAGAAACAGAAACAGAATGTGTATCATTCGCTCTCATTAATTGCCAATGCAATTGTATTTAATGTATTGAACAATATTTTGAATAGTTTAAATTAAAAATTCCCAATATTTATTAATTTTTAATTCTGTATATTGTATAAATACAAAGCTCATATCTCAATAAAAAAGCGAAATGTCAAAAAACTGATTATTACATTGTACGCTTCGCTTGATATCAAACAATTTTCATTTAAAATATTCTTTGTTTTTTTTTTTTGAAATAAATAATTTACAAGAAAATTTAGATGATAGTTGAATGACTTATCTTGTATGATCTAAACAAATTTTTTGAGACATTTGGTTCAAGTATTTTATTCATATTGCAACATAGTTTGCTTGTAGAATTTAAATTAAAGTTTTTAAATTTGTAATATGTAAAATATTCAAGTTTCGTTTCATTTTATTATTTTTGTTGTTTGATGAAAACCATCTTATTATTTGAACAATTAAGAAAAAATTTAGACAAATTTATATGCTACAAGCATTGATACTATCATTCGTGAATACGTTTATGTACTAAAGTGACTAGCAAAGTATAATGTCTTTATGTGCAACAACTCAATATTGATTAATGAATTAATTATAATATACTATTTTATATAATTAATTAATTATACAAGATGACTCATTTAAATCAACCTACTTAAATATCTAAACATGATATGAAAAAATGTGTTAAAGAGAAAAATGATTTCAGGAGATACATTCTCTGATGTAAGTATAAATACATATAATACATATGTACATGTGAAGATCAACTTTATTTTCTTAAATGAAAGTATATATTTTTTAAAGCGTCAAACGATGTAGCTCGACATTCTTTATAAAAACCTATTAATTCATATGTATATCTTAAATATTTTTTCATACTTTCGAAGATATTCGAGTGAACCGATTGAATATAATGTATATTATTATATTCCATAAAATGTCAGTCACCAGTGATCGAAATCACATAAAACATATTAAATTATTTGCTATTTTCATTAAAAAATTAATGATAATTTCAAAATATTAAAAATAGACATAAATATAATTAATAATAAGAAAATATTCAATAATATTTAAAAATAATAGTTCGCATGATTTCAAAAAAGTTTGCAAACATTAAAATTTCCTCAATAAAAGTAATTATATATAACGTGTTAAGCATTTTCTGCTACAAAATTCGTAAGTTTCTTCGCATGCTGTTACTTCCTTATCAATTTAGGTATTTTTTTATAAATCGTACAAACTATTACACAATAATAAGTAATAATGTACTATAATTCCTTCATACCACATAGAAGATAAGCCATATTGAAGATGAAAATAATAATAACAGACAGGGACGAACCACCAAGACGTTTTAAGACCCGATAAGTGACGTACACCGTCGCTGCTGAATGAAGTATATTAAATCCTGTGAAAATATTTTTGTAAAATTGGATTTATCGAATAGTTAATCAATTTATCTATTTTCATCGTTAAGCAAATGAAAAATTGTTTTAACATATTTATTAGAGCTCTTACTATTTTTTGAAATTTACGGACATCCGCATCTTGAATATCTAAATATTTGAATACTCACAAAAAAAAAAAATATATATATATATATGTGATATATAGTGGAACTACATTTATATGTTCTTCATTTATTTAAACTAAGTTAATTAAATGAATTTTTTTATTTTACTAAATTAATTGAATGAACTTAACTTGAATGCATTTAGCTATCAATTATATAAATTATTCAATTAGTTCATATAAGCAGAGTTCTACTGTATTCAATTGAAATTAGACTTGAGTATCGAGGTATCCAGATTTAGACATGAATAATCAAATATTTTCTCATGTATCTATAAGTATCTACAAAATACCTATAAAAAATCTGTACACATTTAAATTAAACACACAATGAAATAATAATTAGAGAACCGTATATGATAACAAATAAATATGTTATATTTTAAATACACATATATTTTCGCAATGGATAGTTAATGATGATCAATCATAGTCGCCAAATCACTAGCTAAGTATTAAGAAGATTACTCTAATGTATAGTAATTACATATTTACATATTTTACATATACATTTATACATTATAATATTATAATAATAATATTATAACATAGTTTAAGATAGTAATATTGCACGAAAATAAATAATTACCAAGCAAAATGTGATATTTAATATTTATAATTTTATATTTTTCAGTTGATAATTCAGTACCATTTTTGAATAAACATTTGACTAGATACATTTATTTATGACTATAACATTTAAGTATACATTTCTATTTAGCAACTGAAGAGGATGAAATAAAATAAACAATGATAAATTCTTATTTTCAACAACATAATGTACTTATCTGCAATTTCCTATTTATTATGATCAGATGATAAAATACTTCGATTTCAATGAAGATCATTTTTCAAAAGAAAATGATATAACTGTATAATTTGATAATAGTGAAATTAATGAACAAACGTATTTTAATTTACATCGAAAACACTAGCAAAAATGACATAACTCTAGTATCTTTATCAAATAGATGACTTCTGGATTTTATGACAGTAGTTAATTTAAATTACAAAAAAAAGGAATTAACACAATCGAAGGTATAAGGTGGATTTAATACCGTCTTTTTGAGTGCAGACTAGTAATTCATACATATAATATATATTTTCAATATTTTTTAACATATAATTCTATTCTATAACATATCTAATATATAATGTATATTTTCAAGATTTTTGATAACAAAATACGATGTCAAAGTTGCAAATAATATTCAAGTCTTTTGACAGGTAGTAGTGTTGCCTTCTAATTATTATTATTATACCACAATTATGCATTCAAAGCACCACTTCTGCATATAAATACTTATAATTTAATTATAACATAATTGCATGTGCAGTTTAAAATAAATGATTATAAATAATTAGATAAAACTAAAGAAAATAAGATCATAATATAAAAATTATTTATACGTGGCTTATACTTGGATTACAGTAGAATTTATGAATCTTATATGCAGTTAAATTTCAACCTATTTTTGTCAATAAAAAAATTTATAAATTTAACTATTTATTTTTTCATTGTATATATTAATTTTATATTATATTATATTAATTTGATACCAAATGACAAATTAAGTTGGAAAAATGAATTAAACATCTCGATTTTAAAACTTATATTTAACTGTTATGATTACATTTGACAAGTAAAAATTATACCCATAAGTCATTTCTGAAATATTTTTAAAACGATTAATTGTATCAAAAAATGTTTTCATATATACAAAGTGAGTCACCATATATTGCCATCTAGATTTATGTCATTATTATTATGCGTAGCGAAAAATGTTTCCGATGAAATTTCTTGTAGGTGGACGTGTAGAGGACATATGAAGGTCATTAACATTTTTTAAAATAGAATCATATATTTTTTATTGCATCAAAATCTATGCGTGAAAAATGAAGACAATATAAATATAAGAATACTATCCTTGTTCTTCCATGTCTTGTTAAAATTAAATTTAAATTAAAATTAAAATATCTTCTAAACTATGACTTTTTAACATAAATAAGTTAATTCTTTTGTAAAGAATATCAAGGTGCATCAACTGATGCAATAAAAAATATATGATTCCATTTAAAAAAACGTTGATGACCTTCATATGTCCTCTATACGTCCACCTACAAGAAAACTAGTATCATCAAAATGTACTTCTCTCGAAACCATTCAACTTCATCTGAAACATTTTTCGCTACGTGTAATAATAATGACGTAAATCTAGATGGCAATATGTGGTGACCCACCCTGTATATATGTAATATTGATTTTTTAATATATATGCATTGAACAAGACATCGAAAGTACGTGTTGTTTGATAAAATTGAGCATTAAAAAATGACTTAATATAAAAAGAAATTGAAGAAGTTTGTATTAAAAACAATAAAATAATGAGTCATTTTCGGTATTTTTCTTTGACTACGAGTATATTTGAAAAAATCTATTAAATCTTCCATAATTTACATGTAGTTAATACAAAATTGTTCAACTTAATGATGTGGATAATATTGGACTCATCAAAAGATCATTCGTTAGAAAACAAATAAATTTGTTTTTTCTACACCAAGTTAGAAAATTATTATCTTATATAACTGTAAATAAAATATTATTCCGATTATATCCGTGATTTCTCTATTAATTGACAATTGCTTTTGCAATCTATAATAATTTTAAGTGTAGACCAGCAGAATTGAATATATTCATTCAAAGGAGATGAAAATTTCTTCGAAACAATAAAAATAGATGACCCTTCTGGAATTTCATTCCGAATAATAATTCAAAAATATTTTATTGCTTTTTTTATTACAGAGATTGATATATATAAAATAATTGATATATATAAAATAATTGATTGTATAATGCTAGAAAATAAAATTTGTTTGTACTTAAATTGTATATTAGTAAGTACATATATACATATAAACCACAAAAGAATAATGCTATTATAATGTAACTACAATATCCGGTTTGAATACGCAATGTAAATAAAAAATTCGTTCAAATAAAATTGTTTCATTCATATGGAATACACGACCGCAGAGGTCATATATATATCTAATTTTAATTATTTCAGTCAAACGAAATACTTCAATTATACATAGCTTCATTAATATTTGAGTTGTTACGATAGAACTTCCGATAGCAACTACTGGATATGTAAATACTCAAATTTTAATTCTGATTCGAATTTCAAGTTATGATTAGTAACTTAAATACATACTTGAACAGTAAGAGCTCCTGCGTTGATCAAAATTTAAATAGATTTTTTAAATTCATTTACCATTTAATTATCATTAATTAATTTAACATATTTGAATAAATTATAAAGTAAAAAAGACAATCACGCAAAATTTCAAGTCATTTCCGCGAATCATTTAAATATCACTTTGTGAAGAATAATTACCATAATTCCATAAGCAAATCAAAACGCCACAGGTTGCGAAAAATATATGTTGACAAACTGGACATTTTCCGTATAAAGTATATCTGTGAAGAAGAGCGATCGGTAATCCTGAAAGTTCAGTTATAATTGTATTATTCTTGAGTTTCATCAAGTTTAAAAATATTTCATTTTACATACGTTTTGTATTATAAATATTTACTTTTAACTATTGATATTAAGTATACGTAATATGTACATACACCCTCTTATACACTGGTTTGTCTCGTTAATATTAATGCTTTATTGTACAAACAGATTATAATTTTTCTCTAACAATAATGGAGTTTAATACAAAACAGTCAACCAGTCGTTGATTTTTTCGATGTAACAACGCAACCAATTCATGTCAATTACATCAAAAACTACAGTGAGTCAAAAAAGTATTGGCATAAAAAAGTATTAGTTTTTTGGCGATGTTACTATGAAAACTAGTAACTATTACTAGTAATATATTGGAAAAATCTGTTTCGATAAATAGTTAACAAAATTAACAAAAGTATGCGCAGTAGCAATTTCGAATGAGTTATACAATAGTAATAAAATTCGAGAATAAAAAAAATATTATAAAAATTACAAAATATTCTTTTGTAAATACTGGAATGTTATCGAAAGACATCGCGCCAACATGAGAAAAAAACGCTTATCTTAAAATATTCTATTCAAATAGATGGTGGAACTGTAGAATTACAAAAACTCATATGTCAACACCTTTTTGATTCTCGAATTTTTATATTATTTGTATAATTATATATTATTATTGTATAATTCATTATTGGAAATTGCTGTTGTACACATTGCTCTTGTATATAGTAAACTATTTATGGAAACAGATTTTGTTAATGTATCATTTGTTTTCACAAAAATAGAAGAAAAAATGTACCAATAATAAATAATATTAAATTATATAATAAATTCTTTAATCTACTATATGTTTACAATGCAAACATTCTTCACGTGTTTTTATCTATAGAGATATTTATTTTAAACATTGTTCACTAAATTTATTCATCTATACATAAATACTATTCAATTAATCTCTATATAAGTACTGTTCAATTAATCAGTTATTCATTTATCTGACTGGTTCCATATTGGCCGGTTAAGAGAGTGTCTACTAGTTCATTCATCAATTTTTAAATTAATCATATTAATAACATTCGCATATGTTGTCTAATTATAATCATATACAGTTCTAAACAATAATAATAATAATAAAATATATCAAATATTTGAAATTTAAATAACATACGAATAATTGTGATAAGGATTATTACATGTTTTTATTATTACTATTTTTACCTAAGTAAATATAAAACAAAGAAAATAATTCATAATTTCAAAAACATTAAACTTGATATTACAAACATCGCATTTACTTTGCAATTTTTTCATGAATTACTCATGCTAAATAATACAACTAAAAATAGATACAGAAAAAAGTAAATAATAAAAAAAATATAATAATAGGATAAGAAATAGAATTACTAATAAAGTAATTAAATATTTTTATTCTTACAAATAATATAAATGTTAAGAAATGTTATTTCCTATTTTAACAGGTATTATTGGCATTAATTTTATTAATTTACAAAAATAAATACGATGCACGCATCTGCACGGTGAAGTACATAACCTTCAAAATACTCTGAAACTATGAAAGCATTTTGAATTCTAAAGTTAAAAATTAAAATTTAAAAAAGATGTATATAAGAAATCATAATACGTAACGAGTAAATTAAAATGTAAATCAATTATGCAATCAGTGATGTAATAAAATTAAATGAATTTAGATCAGACATTGTACGTATATATACGGGTATGTAAAAATTTATTAATTTTAAATACTATAGATGAAAACCATAAAACCATAAAAGAGGACAACGTTGTTTTAAAAACATCATTACCAAGGAATATGGAGATAAGAAGACGAAGTGCAGCTTCAGATGCATTTAAACTTTCCGAGATATTTAACAATATGCTATTCGACATTGTTGATTCTTTTAAAATAGCCTTTTATTTTGTTACGTTAACTTCTTGAATTAGTTCCATATTATTATTAAAATTAAATTCGTTTCTATCAATGATACTTCAGGACAAAATTTGATTTACATTCTGTAATGATAACATCACCTATCACTTGTAAGGTTAGCGAAGATCGATACTAGAGCCACGAAAAGTAACAATGGAAACTGCACAGCTGCACAATAATGTTAAAGCGTTCTGAAAGCCATTAAATTAAGCTAAGTGAAAAGTAAGATCCAAAAAAAAAGTATAAAGAAGAAAATTACATGTTATGCAGATAATTGAAACAGTACAAAATGATTGTTCAATTTATTACAAAAAAATTAAAAAAATTATTAAAACAAAATGTTGATACGTTTCAGAACGCTTCATATTGTAATTTCATATTAAAAGTTCCATATTGTACAATTATTTTATTTATTTAATAATTGCAAGAATGTACTTTTTTATTTCTATTTCTTTATGTTGAATTTTATTTAAAATACTAATTAATGATATTGTAAATAATTACACATAACAATACATTAGAATCCTCAAGTTAAAAATTTCTTCTTAATGCAATTTGTCCAATAAATCGTTAAAAACATGCCGTTCAAAAACTAAATCGAAAACTTAAAGAGATTAAAGGAAAGAAATTTTAAAATTAATATTGTTTAAAATTATAGTAATTAAGGTATTCAAATTCATACAAATTGTTTATATAGTATAATGGTTTATATAGCACAATTTTTTAAACAGTTTCGACAAAAGTTAATTATTAATGAATAAACGATAAATCAGAATACAAGAAATATCAAAAATGTTTTTTCAATAAAAAAACTTGGATCACTTTTATTTTTTTAAATACTAGTACCTAATTGTTTGTATCAGATGCTTATGAATGCTACTAAAACAAATTCAATAATATTAAATTAGATTATTCTTTCTAATAATTTGTTTGGAATTTCATTCTATATAACTAATATAATTAATAACTCAAAGACAAATCACTCTTGTTTAAGTAAATGTACATACATTGCGTGCATACCCAAGGACAATATCAGTTATTGGACAGATTACAGATAAAAACTCGGCGTTATCATTATGTATGGTTGGCAATATTGTCTTCAAACTAATTAGTGAGAAGGTCATATTTTGTAATTGAATATAAAGAGTAAATACACTTCTCATACACTTCATTTCTTGTTTACAACACGTAAATATGTAACGCCCAATAAATGTTCGAATAGCATATCATCTTCCACGCATAGAAGTTGTACTTTATTGTACTTTATTGAATTTCAATGCGTAGAAGCAAATAAACTTTAGGACACTACAATTCTGCTCCATCTTCAATTGTAATAATTAATACTCTTATATATTCATAATACTTATCATGATAGTATTATTAATGTAAATATGATGAACAAGAAATATGTTTACAGTTTACTGTTATGTTCAGCATGTAAATACATGACACCAAATAAGTGTTTGAATAGCACATTTTCCACGATATAGAATTCTATCCTATTCTATCATATTCAATACGTAGAAGCAAATAAACTTCAGGGTATATCACAGCTCTACCTCATTTTAATTGTAAAGTGTTCTTATATATTCATAATACTTATTACGATATTATGGACAAGAAATATGTTTATGTTCAACAACAAAGTATTATTGAATTATATACATGTTGTTACACATTGATAAACAACTTTATTACATTTCAGACTGATATTTTAAACAAATAATTTAAAAACCAACTATTTGATGTTACTTGTTTTATTTAAAAATTTATTTTGCAATTTATTATTAGTTCAGTAATTAACTTTTATCAAAATGAACATTTTGTCAGATAATTACAAGTTAACAAATCGTGACAATAATTACATATTTGTAATAAATTAAGTTCTGAAGAGGAAAGAAAAATAACATCTTATCAATATATCATGATAATAAATAATTCTTTAATAATTTAACTCATGTCACACTATACATTGTCATAATCGCAATATAAAACATATCATAGGATTCGTTGAGTGGCAGTTTCCAACAACAAACATACTCCCGTCGAATCGACTTCTAGCATTAGGAAAATCGAAATTAACTAACCCTTCGCAATCTTGCTACATATTAACGCAAACATCATATGATAGTAGCTACCACTTCATCGTCAATAAGAACTAAATGGACATACAGAACATCTTAAATTTATGTATAGGTAACTATAAATTAATTTTACATTGTTATCAACAATTTATGATACAAATATAATTGGCAATTAGCACAAAAAGTGTTTTTTTTTTTTATATGAAGCTTTTTTTTTGAAATGATCTACGAAGGGTAAATACATCGACAATTTAAAATCATATCTCTAATATAGAGACAATGAAAAAAATTCTTATATTAATTTATACGGGGTGATAGACTACTAGTACGGAAAAATGCAGCATCATGAAGTTTCAAGTGATGCAATTCGTTCCGATAATTTTATCTAAAGAGGCACAGTTTGGAGACACCCTGTATAATATTTTTTATTAGAAAAATTGTTTACCTCGAAAATGTCGCCGATTTTTACTTAGAAAAATATATCCAACCTGATTTTGCGTAACAATCGACATTTATATCGTATTCGTTATTATTCGTACATATACAAAGATTCTTTTACATACATACATATATATACACACACATACGAGGGCACGCACCACATATATTTAGAGAAACTCGGTAATAAACGAAAATTAAATTAATTTAATGTTTGATTTTTTTGCCAAGTTCAACTCTTCGTTTCAAATATTATTTTATATAAAATAGGTATATAATCTTTATTTGGAAAATTGGAAATAATGTTACTTTTATTACTTTTAATTGCACTTTGCATATTATATACGGTTATAATATATATATATAATATAAATGTGGGTATGTTATAATATATTTTCTTAAAGTTTTTAATCATTGTAATACTTTTTTTTAAATAAACAAGTATTTTAATAAAAAAATCAAATTTATTGTATCTATTAATAAAGTGCTTTAAACTTTCGATATTATTGTTCTTGAAAAACGAAGAGTCAAATCGACAATTTAAAGTCTAATACTGCCTTATGATTTCTTCATTGAATTTGATTTAATATCATTCTTGCTATTCTTAATCAGTTTGAAACAATGATTTTCAGGTTTTCAAAAGTCTAAAAATTTACAATATTAAAAAACGCTGTCAATCATTGTTCAAAAAATATCAAAACCGACCGAGTTCTATATAAAATTTATACATTAATTTTGAATAAATATATCATACATTGATACAATTTTTACCATTATTTAATTACGTAATTCTATTATCTTATTATGTTATAATAAAATTTGATCCATGTTTATAATTATGTCTTTCTTCACAATCTTATCAAAACTTATAATCAGACAGGATTTCAGATCCAAAAACTTAGAAACAAATTTTATTCGATTATTTATGAAAAGAAATTTGATTGGTCCGAGCAGAGTATGTAAATGGTACCCTGTCTTCCAAGAAAATTTCAAATAAGAAAAAACTCGGTCGTATAATCAATCTTATAATATTATGCTCTTTACTGACTATGAACAAAATTATACACTTTCGCTTAATTTTCAAATTTGTTAATTACTTTAATAATTACTCTTTTAATAAAATATAAGGAGCTATTTTTAATTGTTTAATTTACGAAAGTGTAACTTTCAATGTCTCACTAGCTGAACTGTATATTTCATATATTTTATTCATATATTTCATATAATATATTTCATTACTTCACAAATTCTGGTATAAATCGCTTCAAAATGTATAAAAATAATGATATTTTACAGTTTTTTTGATTTTTGGAATTAATATAATAAAATTATTATTTTATAATTTACGGTATGATATACTTTTTATAATACGAAATTTAAATAAATTTATAAATTAATTTCATTAAATAATTTTATTTGTTATTAAAAATTGAAGAAACTGAAATAGGAATTTTACTAGAATTCATTTAAATTTATCAGTTCATAAGTTCACTTTATATATTTATTTAACATTATTTATTTACTTAATATTAAGTATGGTATAATATACAAATTTTATAAAATTTTGTGAAATACTGACAAAGAAAATCCAAAAATCAAAAAAACCTTATGCATTATTTTTCAAAGACTGTATGGATATTCTGCCAGATAATTTCTAATTAATGGTGGTAAATGTTTAGTGGGTAATTTACTTCTATTAACAACTAACCTGGCCAAATGACTAAGGGACCTAACTCCTTTAACTAAAGGTTTTGTCAAATAAATTTCACTATAAAGTTGTCCACTATAATCTACCCAAACTTCTTTTCTATGTTCGTCGACACTTTTGGAATATTCTACATAATATTCCAGCATCTTAATTGGACAATCAAAAAATGGAATCGCAAAAGCAAGTCTAGGTTCAGCATCTAATCGAAACTGTCCCAAAAAATAGTGTACTCTAACAGAGGTAGGACCTCTAGCAGTCTGCACAGACACAGCAAACATATATCTGCTATCTGAACTATCTCTCATCAACCATCGACCAACTGCAGTATTTTTTAATAAATTTTCACTTTGTTGCCAACTAAGACCCTCATGATACCAGCCACAAGTTTGTAAAAGTCTTTTAATTTCACTCAGTCTAGCTGCATTCCTGTCTATCGTGTAATTATCAAAACTCCAAGGACATGGCATTAACCAAGAGACTGGCGTAGTTGGAGATCTATCTCGTCTGTCATCAAAATTTTCATCATTATTCTGAATATCGTTCTTTTGCACTAAACCTCCACCATTAAAATTATTTCTAGTTCTTGAAGTTATACCCGTCAAAGAATCAGGTGAATTTGTAGTAGTTGCAGTTATATTCACTGTACATTGTCCTAAACTTGCAGGAAGTTGTACAGTCGCATTTACTTGAATCTGTACTCCTGGATTTTGGTCTAAAACCATGGAGTTACGATTTTTAGAAACTTGATTGTTATTTGACTTAACACGATAAAGCTTCTGAACATTATTACAACAGCAATTAAAATCTTGATCCTGTTCAAATTCTTGTTCGTCCTTTTTAGAATTTTTAGTTTGTTGAAATTGCATGGCTGGCACATTAGTCACTTTAAAATTAGAAAAAACTGATTTTTCTTCACGATTTTCAAATGAAGTTTCCTCTTCTAGTTTTTGTGATAAAGTACTTCTTCGAGTCCCTGGTAATTCCTGACAGCCACTTGGAGGTATTAAAAACATCCTTTTCTCATGAGTCATATTTTCTTGTTGATTTCTTTGTTCATGAAATGTATTAGAAGCTTCGTGACTTTCAGCTGATATTGGCTTTTGCATAAAACATCCACCACCACACAATTTTGGGCGAATTTCCATATGTGGTGTTTGCATAAAACTCCCAGAATCTGTACTCTGAATTAAACAGCCTCCAGATTGTATACTTGGTGTTGTTATTGTCATACTTCCTCCAGTTAAATCACAACTCGTGGTGATTTGACATCCAGAACTTTGATTTTTTTGTATTTCTTCATTAAATAATGGAAATCCAAGAACTTGTGTATTTTTTTTAAACTTTTGAAGGGAACTTTCCTTTTGTTTATCAATTCTTGACTTTTCCAAATCAAGTGCCATTGAAGGATAATTGAAGGTATTAATAACAGGTTGAATAATAGTTGGTGCATTTATAAAACAACCACCACCACTAGTATAGCGCTTAGGAACTAATAAGCCACCATAATAACAGGCTGCTGGATGAATTAGAGTATTATTTTCATCCATATTTTGAGGTTCGCAACAACCTGAAGCTGGAAATCGGTGACGACAGTTTGGACACATTACTGTCAACATCTTTTGTGAAAATACTTTATTTCCAGCATAACAGTCTTATATCTGTAAACAAAAAACAAAATTATTTTTAATTTTTTCATGAAACTAGCATATATGGTGTAAAAATATTTTCAAATATGAAGCATACAATGAATATTCAGTCTTAACATATAAAAAATATTTTTTAAATAAATTTCTAATTATATCTAAAATAAATTTAAAATATAGTGAAAAAGAAATTATTATTAAAATGAACAAAGTACGCATAATTATTTACAAATACTATTTGATAAAATCTATTATTGTAAATTTAAAACAATTATTCAAAATAAAATACTCAATACCAGATAAATTTTTGTGAAATCACACTTTTATTAATTAATGTAGCAATTCATTAATTGTAAATATAGTGCGTTTGAATAACATAAATTTATATAAAATATCGAAGCATAACATATTATAATATTGCTTATAACTTATATAATAAAAAAAGTATTAGTCGCATGAGAATGTTCATATAAATAAAAGATATTAGAGAAAAAATGCAGCAAATTAATTTAAGACGAATTTAAATTTTTATAAAATTACACAATACTTTATGCTTTAATCGTTCACTATACACGATTATTTATAAGTGACTGGCATAATTTACGTAATTGACCGCATTGCGTAAGTTATTTTCCATGAAAATCTGTTCCAACTAAAAATACTACATGCCTCCGTAATTTTGTTTTTCTCGTTATTTTACTCAAACGTGATAAATTTTGATTATATTAAATTTAAATCGTATCTTAAACTTTTTCGACATTTTAAACTTACATTTTGTTTTTATTTCAGCTGAATTTCGATTTAAATTGTTAATTTCTAGGTTATAATTCTATCACGTGATAAAATAAATTCAAATATATTTTCAACGAATCATTGCCTATGCAAGGCAAATAATTTATTTTTGACTATGCCGTTTCTCTGTTTCACAAAGTTTCTAAATTAAAATTTTAATCCGTTTAGAAAAAGAAAGAAATATTACGTTAAATAATCATTTTGATACATCGTAATCGAGTCATAAAATAATTATACATTACATGCAGCTGCCTTCTCGTTCTAAGAATAAAACGTTTCGCGTTCAACCCGTGTTCTTGCAAGGTTGATCAACAGACGTAAAAAAAACAGTGAATAATTGTGAGTTGCGTAGTAAACAAAGAAATTCCAATGAAATCAGATTATTTCCATTTCTCGGAAGGTTCTTAATTAATATTTAAGAAATTCTGGAAATCGCAATTTGAAATTTAATGAATCGTTGCTCGTTTGATGAATGCATCCTATTGTTGTTACCATCGAATCTATTTGAACGATATTAATATGAAACAAAATGTGAGAAGACAACCATGAAAGGCAGAACGAAAAATGCAAAGAATTTACCTAATGAATATAAATCGACTTTGCATTTCTCTACCAACTCGGATCGGCCGAGTCACTCGTTGATATAAGAGTCCGTTAACCTTGTCGGTATCTCGCTAGGGTTATTTAAATAATCGACGAAGCGTCAGCCGCATACGCGACTTCCACATATGACTTCACGATTCATAATTTAAGACCAGGTGTCGCATTCTCCCGTGATCCCGACAGGAATAGAGACGCATCTTTCGACATCGTCTGCGCGCACCACAGCTGCCTTCTTTTCCCATTGTGTTTTAATGGGCCACGTGGCAGAGAGATGTCCGAGTGTTAGTAAAGCGGCACGGAGCCGCTTTTCCACGAACATGTCGCAACGCTAGAAGGCCAAGCCCCCATTTAGAAGTTGTTCTTGGCCTCTCCAACGCCCCACCACTACCCACCCTCTCTTTCCCCACCACTGGCGCCGACCAACTGACAATCACCCTCTCTCCTCTTTTACCTCGCATCGAACAACTACTGGTTTCCTTATATCAATCGTATTTCAGAGCTTTTTCTAAATATTTGTCCGTTTCAAACGAGATAAATTGCAAACTTCATGTTTGCAATTTAAAATAAAGCTCGAAAGATGATAAAAATATACTGTATCGGTATTCGTTTAACTTTGAAGGACAAGTACTCAAATTTGTTAGAAACATTTCAAATTTTAAACATATTTAAATTTATTCCTATATTTAAATTTGTACAAATGTTTAATCAAAATATCTTTAATAATTTTGTACCTTTCTTGTCAGTTTCTACATTTAAAAAAAAAAAAAAAAATGACGAAATTTCATATGATTGATTATTTTCCACCTCGTATGTGTGCTCATTTCCAAATATTCAACGTTTCTTAAGAACACAGGTATCTACGCGCACGCAGTACCGATAAATGTTATAGCGTCGTAAATGTCGCGAAAAAAGAATCAATGTTTTTCTTGTAACGCAATATTCCAGCGAACAGAACACTTTCGCCAGAATTGTCGTGTCACGATTAACAAACCTGCAGTTACAATAAATATTCATCGTTCCGAATAAAAGAAACGAGTGCCGATTTCGAGAAACGATTTCACATCACGTCATTGACGAATTAGTATTATCCGGAATCCCATAATCGGTTCTGCCAAAAGGCTCTTCACATATTTACAACCCCTTTTGTACACGTTATCGATAAGCAAAATTACCATGTAAATGTACTATTGGAGTCAATAGTGATAATTACCATGATAACATTTTCCTTGAACGTACAATACTGAACATAAAATCAATTATATCAGGAATAACACAGATACAAGAATGAAAATACTTTGTAAAATAATAAGAAATATAAACGTATGTGCGTGTTATCTCTTAAGTATGATTTAACGCATTAAAATTACTTTTTATTTATTTAAGATAGTGAAGGTAGATTTCATGGAATGAGGCTGATTGTAAATTATACACGAAGTACAGAATTATCTAAAATAAACATACGTAATTCATAGAATATTAATATCATATATTTAATATATAATATTTCTAATATGAATCTTGTTAGACTGTTTAATATTAACATGAAAAATATTTGAAAAAAAATGTAATTTTTCATATAGCCATTCTGCATTTTTTGAAAACATTTTCTGATCTTTTCTTTAACTTTGTAAAAGATCAGACAAACAATTCAATTCCTTCTTAATTATATTTCGAATTTACAATTTTGGTTAAATACTTATGGTTGCAAATTATTTGTTAAATAAAACTATGAAATAATCGAAGAATTGTTTCATTTCATGACGCAAGCCGACTTCCTTATCGAGTCTTCCTTGAAATAATAATCGTCAATTGATGACACGTACACGATGATATCGAAATTACATATATGGTATTGAAATATATAGTAAGTAATCTTACGAAAGTGTCCAGTACATATTCAAGTATTGTCACGCAACATCTAATTCGAAATTCTAAAGTTTTGAAAAATGTTTATTTAAAAACTAATTGTTATTAAACTGTGTTCTCTCTTTTTAATTTTTTATATTTAATTTAATGTACGTTTCTTTTAAAAATAAAAGAAAAAAATATATAAATTCGATCAAGTTAAAAAAATCGAAAATAAAATTTTATAATTATTTTTAATCATATATAATTTATAATTAATTTTAAGCAACGCAGATGTATTTCAAATAACGTTCAATTGTCTAAGGCGATATATCTAATAAAACAATTTGAAGGTATTTTCAAAAACAATAATCGAAAAATAAAAACATTGATATTTTGTATAAATCTTCAATAATATTTTATGTAATATTTTATGTAATTAAATGCTATTTGAATGTTTAACAATATAATATATCGTTCACGAATGAAGTAATATTCCAAATGCATTAATTTCACCAATATTCACCAATAAACATATAAAATAAAACTTAATATTTTATTAAAACAGAATAAGACACGTACATGATAGAATATATTCAATTATTTATTCTCAGTATACGTGTAAAAACGACACTCTAGCTGGAAAAGCTCAAAAAAAAAAAAAAAGAAAAAAAGCATTAAATATTTATAAAGTATTATAACTTTTTATTTAAATCTATTTTAATTTACTATTTCAAGAACACCAAGTTTTTCTTGGAATCGCTTTATAACACTTCTTACATTTATGAGTCTAATAATTTTTATATCACGTATAATTGCATCTAGTGAGTATATTTTATTTTACATGTATGAACATATACAATCTGGAGAACTTCTTGCATTTTTAATAAAATATCTCGAAGATAATTTTATAAAATCGCAAGGTTCTTAAAAATATAATATAAAAATCGAATTTTTGGATTTTCTGAATAAAAAATACAGTTATATTGTTCATTAATATCAATTTTTTATCATTCACTGCACCCCTGATCTTTATTCTTCCTCGACCATCTGTTCTCTCCTGTCGTTGGAATGCTAAAGGGAGTGGAAACAGCCGAACGAGAGAGAGAGAGAGAGAGAGAGAGAGAGAGAGAGAGAGAGAGAGAGAAGGAGAGAAAAATCTTTCTTCGAGCAAGGAGGACTTCGCAGAATCGAGCGTCGTAGTTTTATTTGAGGAAACGGAACGAGACTCTGATGGAGGGCCACAAAATTAGAAGAAATCTAAGAAAATACTTTTTTTTTTATACCATCATGGGGATTTAAGATTTAAGAATACATCGAAAAAGATATAAGAAGAAATAATTTTTCTTTTCAAATTTTATGTTTCGTTTGCCTCTGTTTACTTAATATTACAATGTTTATCATTTTTATAACTATTCTTTTAGCTATTCAATATAATTCCAGAATATGCAAGCGTGAGTAAAAGATTTAATGAATAAAATTGGATCGCTCTTCAACAATTCGTGTAATAATTTTTGATTTGCAAAATTTCTCATCATTTAATACGAGCTGTTTTAAAAATGTGCAGAATTTCGTTCAAACATATGATGATAAAAAAAGTTGAAATAATAAGGAAAAAGCAATAAAAAATTAATAAACAAACTCTAACGAACGATTATTATGTTCATACGCGTGAAGATAAGCGGAGAATGGAGTGCATAAATTTGACAAAGAAAAAGCAACGAACGAGTTTTACGATCGAAGTCATAAGGTGGTTCGAAAGCATCATAAATCGAGAAAAGGGTTTGGGATCTACCCTGTTTCAAGGGGTCTGGCTAGAAATTCGTCTTCTTGGAAAACGACGAACTGGGCTGATGACCTGCACGCCGGCGAAATACAGTTCGTCGTAGCGAATGCTAATTTTACTGGTCAACTTCATCGATGCCTCTACGGTCCTTTGGTTACAGCTCTTTTCAGAAATCGAATGACCGATGATACTTGCAAACATTATATTCTAATTTATTTTAAAATTTTTAGTAATTATTTACCAGCAAAATGCAATTAAATATGCGATTAAAAGCATAAAATATTGAACGCGCAAGCATTAAGAAATGTATATAATTATATAGAATGAACAATTTTTAATTCAATAAACACGAATATTTTCAAATAATAAACAAAAATCGATTTCCTCAAACTATATTTTCTTGAGCCGCATTTAATTAAACAATTTTAATTTTCAAAATCTTAGTACAAATATGTTTTAATTGTATTGATGATTGAAATTCAAATTACATACTTGTGACATTTTAAAAATATCAACGAAAGATTTGAGATAGCTATATATTATTAAGAAATGTTATGCATGTAGCACTAAAGGAACGCAGCGAATGAAATGATATACAATTTCAATCGATTTGAATAAAATTGTGGGAAATGATGAAAATAAAGGATGATTATAGGAAATTTTTTCGACTAATTGAGCAATCACCATTTATGAGTGAAACTGTAGCTGGCCTCGTTATCGGCAAGATTTCCAGCAAGTATAAATGAGAAGAGGTTCCTCGAATGAGTGGTAACACGGATTTTATCACTTACAGATAAGCGTGAATTTTATTTTACAAGCCTTCGGAGAAATAAACCTGCTTCCGTGAACGAATCTGCTTTTGTTGTTACAAGCATTTAGATCGTTACCCTTTGGTTATTAATCTATTAATCATTTTTCCTCTATTTAATTTGAATTTTGCGAAAACTATTTTAAAAAAAAATCATTATAAAAATCATTAATCAAATCATCTTGAAAAGCACGAAAAGTAATAAAAAATAAACTGATCCAACAAATGTAAAATTACTCATTTCCATTTCTTACTGCGAATATTAAAAAATTACAATCATATATAAATATGAAAAAATTGCATTTGATCGATTTTTATTATAAAAATGATTCATTCTTTCAATACTAAAATATTGTGCAATGCATCGATAAAATATGAATTCCTTTATTTACTTCGTTACACTTTTTTGTTTCTTTTTCTTTTCATAGAACCATTCTTTGCGCGAAAGGAAGTCAAAACGAATGAAAAAATGATTCATTCCTTTCGTACTAACAAATAAAATGTATAATAAATTTTTCAATCTTCCAGCATCAAATTTTCTAAGTTAATAAATTTGCCATAGTAAAATCTAAATTTCGATAAGGAAACGCGAAATTCAACAGTATGCATTTCGAAAACAATAACTTTTAAAAGGATCACTAAAAATGTGAAGCAAAGATAACTACATGTTGCATTAAAATTCATAGACTGACTGTTAAAACAGATGTAAATGTATCGAGAACAATGCTGTAAGACATAAGAAAAAAAAAAAAAAAATTACCAGTAAAACGTCAAATTCTCAGAAAGCAAGTAATAGGAATTTATATAACGTCCAGAAGCGAAACTCACTGAAATATTTTTGTAATTTGGTGACAGCCAAGAAGAGATTCCCTATGAAACTTTCTCCGAAAAGCCACTTCCACTTTCACCTCTCTCGAAAATAACTTGTAACACTACTAAAAATATTTCTCGTTCGAAGCACAATAGAAGCTTCTGATTTTCTTTAAGAATACAATATGTCGATAATAAATAATAGAATTGTGTCTTGCGAATATGCGGTGCCGACTTTTTAAAAGATTGTCAAAATATAATGTGAGAAGAAGCCAACCAGACCGACACCGACAACGTGAGAGTCGGGATAGAACTGGCGCTGCTACCACTGAATGAATCTATAATTGTTTTTGTAGGAAACTAGGTGGGGGCGAGCACGTGACCGAGTTACGAGTGGTGGGGGAAATCGTGGAAGTCTTGTCGAAAGAGCATTACGAACTCTATTTCAGCGATGGCTACGATACGAAAACGACAAACGAATCAATCCATTGAAACTTCTGATAACGATGCAATACAGAATTTCAGCTTATTCAGTTTCAATATTCGAACTATCGGTGCTCGATTATTCCAAGATTGAAAGCGAAAGAAATAAGAAAGAAATTAAAGAAAAATTATTGATTACAATTACAATCTTCAATATTAGATTTAATTATATAAATATACGACTACAAAAATTGATAAGACATAATAGGAGCTTTGTATGTATGAGTATTGTATTACGTAAAAGTAAATTGAGCAATTCTTTCTTGGAATTTTATTTTATTTTTTTTTTTTTTTTTGCGTTAGGTCCTAATCTTGAAAGGAAAAACAAAGAAATTAAAAAAATTTTAGTTTAAGAAATTAAAAAAACAAGAAATTATAGAAATTTATAAAACGACACTATGTTGAAATTTGATGAAGGATCAAAAGCCATTACATCATCTCTCATTAGAAATAATTTATGCTATGAATATGCCTTTTGTTGTTAAAATTGTCACTCGATGGAATAGATTAATCATTACAATATAATGACATGGTTATTATAATATAATTATTATGACATTATAACTGTTCCACGAATTGAAGGTTTTGATAAGAAAAATATGTTTGCACATGTTTTACTTTTAATGAAAAATGACTTGCACTGATTACTTTTTGAGTCTTTCATATGCATCTTAATAATATAATAAATTATGTAACTTAGAAAACATAAATTTACAAAGATTTCCTAATTTCAAATGCACAGTTATTGATCCTTAATTATTGAAAAATGGGAATTCTTAAGGAGAATGAAATGATCAAAAGAAATGATCAATAAATTAATAATTTTTGAATTTTAATTATTAATTTATTAAATTAGAAAATTAATTTTTTTATATATTTTGAACTCCATATATAATATTTCCAAATATATTAATGTCGATAATTTGTATAATGTAAATTATTATTTTTAAACAATTCTTTAAATTAAGTGCAATTCACAAAATCTGTATATCATTGATGAAATATATGAACTATATGAAATTTTCAAATTTATAATAAAAAAGATCACACATACAGCAGTCTTATTAAATCATTAACAATGGCGATCTCCTTAAATTGCATACAATTGATTAAATCTGATTTTTTTAATTCTATTAATAAAAAATTACGGAGAAGAAAGACGTTGGACAAATATTGAACGAGTTGGATAAAAATAAATATTAGCACGCATCGGTCGAAACTGTCGCTATTGCATGTGCGACAGAGCACATGGCTCACAGAAAAATGGATTCCTTTTAACTGGTTTACGTGCGATCTCGTCTATTGCTATCGCGTCATCGTTCTCGCTTACGAGTTCGTATTTCCGTGGATCTCTCGTCGAAACGTCACGAATTCCGACGATTTGACGCCGTACACTCACGATCTTGGCTGCCAATCGATTGCCACTGCCAGACTAACTATTTCTCCCCTTCCCACCGATATGCACGACATTGGCAAACACTTCACCAGTTTATACGATCAGAAGTTTGCAAAACTTGACAACTTTTACAAAATCGTAATATCATAGAAATATATATTCCGACTAACGCGTGTTATACTAAGCTTGCGTCAAGCTTATATAACAGGTCTGTAACGCTAATTTGAAAGGTCTCTTCAAATAATACGTAACATCGCACAGAAGAATTTCTCTATTTTTTTCTTCAAGCATCGTTTAACCAACTGTTTGAAAAATAATGTTTATCGTGTACTGCTGATACTGAATAATTAATCAACAGATGTTTTATGTATGTACCACGATTGACGACGTGGATAATTTTAATTAACTTTCGTGGAAAGCATTGTGTTTGTTATAGTTCTCGTCACCTCTCGTCGCATGTTCACATTTTTCTCTATCTTTCTCTTTTTTTTTCACGTTCTTTCAAAAAGCTACCAACGTGAAAATATGAAATCGGTTAAATTTAGAAGTATCAAATATTTGTACAATTTACAAGCAACGTATTTATTCTGATTCTTTGCTCTCATCTTCGCATTTACGATCTTTCTTTTTTTAATGTGTCCTGTTTTTTTTTTTTTTTAGATTTAAATTTCAAATCTTAGGAAAATTGTAAAAGATTAAAAAGAATGATTGATCAAATAGAAAAAAACAAGAATTAACTGAAGAATTCTGGTAAGCGAAGGAATAAGAAAAAAAGGAGAGAAAGAGAGAGAAAAGAAAAGAAGAAAAAAGGACAAGGATAGAGATCGAGAGGAAGAGAGAGAAAGGTAAGGAGAGAAAGAAAGCGAGCGAGCAAGCGAAACTCGGAAAGAGAAGGAGGGAGAGAGAGTCGTGCGTACCTAAGACACGTTATTCTTGTTCATTTCCAAGAATAAATCCGTAAGAATCCAACTGGTCGCACAATACGAGTTTCTCTTAACAAAATACGCTATTCCCTCCGTCCCTCTCCCTTTCAAACGTTTTGCAAACTGTCCTATTCACCTTCGATCCAATATACTTTATTAAGTATTTGTTTTTCTGACAGTTTCACTGGAATCCATAAAATCTTATCTAAAGACCTAATCTTCTTTTTGGAATTTTGTAATATTTACTGTAAAGGTCTCTCGCTGCCAATCAGGGCTGAACAAATTTCATTCGAGATAAAGAAAATATTACAAGGAAAAAATAACAATCCGAAATAACGAATTTCCGTTTCCATTAATTTATTATTTTTGCTTGAGAAATAACTTAGAAAAAGTAGCTTTGTCCTGAGTCCAAATCAAACAAATCGTTTGCAAATAATCTCTTATTTCATTAAAATAAAGTGGCAAATAATCCTAGCAATAGGAGAACTTTATACTATAAATTATTTGAAAAATTACTTGTAAAAACAAATACAAAGTGCAAAATGAAATAAAAGATCATTTTATTTAGTAATCAAATAATGAAATAATTCAGAGAAAAATCATTTTTTCAAAAAATTATTTGTTCAAATAAACTAACATAATTTCAAGATAATGAGTCAAATGAGATGATGTGTTGGGTACATAATCATTTTTCAAATATTTTTTCAAACATTATTTAAATAATGTCCATACCTGCTACTGATATATTCTTTGAACGATCAAATTTTAACACTGCCTTCCGAAATTTTTTATACGTATTAAACTATTTTTACGCCAGAGGTATGCGTTTTAAACGAACTCCCACGATTCTATTTTAAATAAACCTATAAGAAATTCCAGCTCTGGCAAATGGATATATTTGAAAGTATTCGGAAATATTGAAATTTTTAAAATGTAAGATATTATATTTGTTTCAATTACGTGGAAATATAAAATCAGCAATTTCAATTTTATTTGCGATCTCAATGTTTCCGAATAACTTACAAATATTGAAAATTTTACATCAGTGATGAATAATTCAATGCTGAATAATGCACACCGTTCGTGTTATATACAGAGTGTTTCGTAACTTGTAGGACCCACTTCGGGAGTTGATTGTACGCCTAAAAATAATGAAGAAAAGTCATATAAATATATGTCCTATCTGTCTTCGTTTGTGAGACAACGTACTTTGACGAATTTTATAAACAGAGCAAACTCTAGTAAGCTAGTTTTACCAGAGATGGTACATTCAATTTCCATAATAATCATAATTGGAATGAAAAAACCCACATGTTATTATGCATTCAAGACATCAACACCAGTTTAGTTTAAACGTATGGGCAGGAATAATTGATAAATTTTTAATTGGATCTTTTTTTCTCGATGGGAAACTAACAGGCACAAAGTACGTTGATTTTTTGAGCACGCGTTTACACGAAATATTAGAGGAAGGTCCAGTCGATATTAGACTTCGTATGCGGTTTATGCATGATGGAGCTCCGCCGCATTTTGGCCAAGTGGCTAGGCAATTTTTAAATCAACACTTTGCAAATAAATAGATTGGTCGTAGAGGTCCTATTGCATGGCCTGCTCGTTCTTCGGATTTGAATCCATTAGATTTTCATTTGTGGAGACATTTAAAATCTATTGTACACGCAACATCGATTGAACATGCTGAAANATACTACGAAATAGAATAGAGCAAGGCTTCCGACAAATTCGAGAAACACCAGGAATGATAGAGAGAGTAACCAGATTAATGACAAGACGCGTGCAGGCTTGTCTTCAAAATGCAAGGTGATCATTTCGAGCATCTTTTGTAAAAGTAATTAAAATAGAAAATTCATTATATTTCATAAACGAAGACAGATAGGACATATATTTATATGACTTTTTTTCATTATTTTTAGACGTACAATCAGCTCCCGAAGTAGGTCCCACAAGTTACGAAACACCCTGTATATATATATATAACTTATATGTTAATAATCATTTTCCGATGCGTGATTGTTGGAATTATTTAAATATTTATATAAGAAAAAATTAATCACTATTTACATGTCAAACATCATTCTTAGTAACGAAATCGTTCTCCGGGAAATGAAATTCTGATGCTTTATCTTCGATGATTATTAAAACGTGAGAATTACGCAAACAAAATTTACATTTCGTATTCGTGTACATCTAATGAAGTTGGCCAAATTTATTAGAAATTCTATTTTTATGAAACTTTTACTTATTGGAAAAGTATTCCCTGCTGATGATACATGGGGCCCAAAACAGGAACACCTAGCCATGAGTCATGACTTTGAAACCTACACATATCAGAGTACACCATATGACATTTCGTTCATGCAAGCATGCATATTATCTGATCAACGAGAACTTTTATATAGTCTATTAAATATTACTGATCATTCAATAATAGTGAAGGAGGTAAATTTATCGGAAGACGTGTTTTTATGATTTTTATGCAAGTGAATTTTTGTGATTTTCTCAATGTTCTTTTTTTTTAATGAAAAATTTGTATAATTTCTTCTACCACTTG